CAAACAGATATTCTGTAGACACCAATTTCATGCCAACTTTAACAGTAATTTTTCTTTTATGATAATTAACTTTGCCAACTAATCCTTACTTACATAAGCAGAGAGTCTTAGAAAGATTGGATGAGATTACAACAGTAGTGAAATCTGTAAATAACCAGTGGAAATTCCATTTATTAAAGAGACTGTGTAGATATTAAACTCTGTGGTAAGTTACTTGTAAAGCATTCTTATGATGTGTCACTTGTGCTTATAAGCATTTTTCCCTTTTGTTGCCAGATCTCAAACAAGGGATTATGCATGTTTAGACAATTCATTTTCTGTACTTCTTTCAGTTAAACAGCACAAGTGTGTAGCTATATGACTTAATTCTTTCCTTATGTATACACTGCTTTCAATGCTATATTTTTGAGGATTGTTAACGTTAATTGTACCTTGGTGCACAGGTGTTTCCACTGCCTCCAGATTTTGTGTGTTCTCTTTTTGAGTTCCATTTAAAATAAAGAAGTGTGAAACATATATTTTAACAAAACATAACATAGGTAAATTTATGTAAATCTGTATTTTTCATGCTTTTAGGATGGTCTTTGTTCCCAGGTGCCATCTTAACTATAAAGTTTTGCTTTATAAGATCAGCGATAACTGTAAATCCAGTTGTGTTTCTTAGAAACTGTATTTAAAACTGTTGCTTGATCTTTAGATTACTCTAAAGTAAACAACATAACCAAATGGATTTTCCTACGAAGAAGGTCTCCTCGTGCTGTGAAAATTACTGCATAAACAGTAAGATTCCTTGAACTGGTTAGGATGAGGATGATTATGTATGAACATTAGATGGACAATACTGCCATTCCAGGCATCATATGTTCATATGTATTATGTACATACACATTCACATGCTTTGCTTTCTATAAAGAACACACTGTAGAACATGATTTCTCAACTGGAGTTCATCTCAAAGCAGACAACAGTTTTGTGAAGCAGGGTATTTTTTGGTTTGTTGGTTTTAGAAATCAACAATTAGGGCCTCAAGCTGCATTTCCTAAATCCTGCCCAGGGAGAAACCAGTAAACCTTTCCTAACACAGGATGTCTGTCTTAAAAACTCTACTTGCTACTCCGAATTCATGTCAGTTATGTTTTCCCTCTTCAGAAAACTTCATGTTTGCTTTGATAAATTCCCTGAAACACAGATGTGTCTCCAAGTAACTCAGGAGTTCTGCCAAAGGCTGAAGAGGTGCTCACACAGCCATGCCCACAGTCCTCTTCTGTCACAGGGCATAGATGCCACAGACTGACGTCAGCTTGTGACCTTCTTTAAGGCTCTCTGAGATGCTGTATGTATCTATGTATCCACAAGAGCGCCAGCACTTAGAAATGGAATTTCCAAATATCTGGGGTTACAGTCTCACCTCAGCACAAGACCCTTATGCCAGGCCAATGGAGCAAAAACATGCTAAATTTCTCAAAACTGCCTATTGACCCAGGGGATGGGCAGAGGAAAGTCTCAGTTGGCATATACTGATTGAAAAATTGCATTAAGAAGTAATCTGCAAATATACTGACAAAATAACTATAAAAACTATAAGATTTGTTTTCACTCCACGACCTGATCACTTCAAACTGTGGGTTCACTTTGCCCATTTACTAATGACCAATTATCATCACTGGATATATTTTATATGATCTGTGAATTAACAAATTAACAAACAAATTAACAGTAACTCTTATGTCAGCTGCAGGTATTGCTGAGAAAGGGAAACAAAATCAACCAACTAGGTACTGTAGAACCACCTGCAATTATCCCGAGACTTATTAGCAGTTACAACATTATGTCTCTTAAAAGCCAAATGGACTGAAACTAGTAATACTACCACTGTGTTACCATAGGGATTCATTAAAAACCCTATAAAAGCCACAGAGTGAAATCAGCACCTGGTGGTGTTTCAGACCTGGTGAGATGATCTTCATTGCTGGAATAAGCATGATTATACAGTAGCTGCTCCTCAGTGCTGGCATATCCATTTGCACACTCTGGGAGAATCTTAAGACCTTTAGTAAGAATGCAGGAGCCATCACACACCAGGACCTTACCAAGGGCTGTCATGATGTACTCACACTTTCAACTCTTACTGGAGCCTCTTCTCCGAGTAAGTTGGATGTAAGCACAGATCTAGAACAACACCAGTACCAGATCCAAAAGCTACAGCTCAAGCTCCTCTCTGGGCTACAAACTCAATGTAGTTTGTCTGGAAGGGACACTAGTTAATATATTTTCCTTCTCTTTTGCTTCTTCCAGATCCTTGGCTTTGTTAGGTTTTTGGGTTAGGTTTCTAAATCTGTGTTTGGTGTTCTAGGCTCTTTCAGTACTACTTTTTAGCTAGCCATATTGTTTTAAATAATATGCCATTACCTATATGGGTTGTCTTCAGCCCCACAGGTTCCTCAGTTGTGGAATCTCCTTTATTTTAACCTAGAGCTTAAAACACCAATTACCTATAAAATTAACTGTTAGCACAGTAGGTTGTGGAAATAACCAGCAAGAGAGCACTCTCTGCATTCCTTGCAAACCCACAAATTTTAAGGCACTATTTTGTTCAAAGACTCAACCATAATAAGCCAACATCATTATTGGAAAAAAAAGTCTGGTTTGGCTTTTTTCCTTGGTTACTACAGGAAGATTATTTTCCTGCTCTGTTTTATTTTCAATAGGACTCAACACATGCATTCCCATTTGAGGTGCAGCAGTGTTAAACCACTGCCCATCTGCTGTGGAACAGGAAATCTGCACTGGAGACTCAGATGTTATAATTTTATTCACTGACTTGCAATTTCAAATGGTTCTGCATTCTGCTGAAACTGCTGAAATTTGATGTAGAACTAAATAATTTAAACACAATAGGAAGAATTTCTTATATTCTTCATAGATTAAATTTTTTTGTTGTAACCTTGAACAGGGCTGCCCAGCACTGCGACGTCTGCTCCTTCCCTAAGCTGCTACTTACATGGCCAGTGAACAGATGCAGAGCAGGATCATTACACAGACAGGGCAGGGGAAGGATGGTAAATCATTCTGCTTAACTGACTGCAATACAAAGCACGATGTATTTTTTAAAAAGGTGAAATGCTGACTAAAATTGGATGCTTAATGTCCTATTAAATTTAAAAACAGCTGAATAAAATAGGCTCATGGACCTGTTTAAGAGTTTGAAGTCAGTTCAGCTTCTTGATTACTCAAGTAAGATACAAGACAGTGCACATTATTGATAATTTTACATCACTTTTTGGATCAGCATCCAGACAGTAGTGAAAATACACAACTTCTACCTTAAATATTGGTCTATTATTCTCAGGTTATCTGAAATGACAGACACATCTACACCTCAGACCCAATTTTAAATGAGAACTTCATCTTGTATGATGCATTTCCCAACTCTGTTTCAAGTACATAATAGTCCCACAAGGCTGAGGACTCAGTTTATCAAGAAAATTTTGGAACAGTTATTATTTTAAGGCAAATTCAAATTTTCTTCTTTTAGAGTTTACTGACTTTGAAAAGCTTGATTAATTTGAGTTATATTAACAGAAACACAGTTTTTAAACTAAAACTCTGTATTGGGAGGTGGTATTTATTTCAATCAAGAGTTTTGAGATTTTATGTAGTCATACTTCTTCCTTTTATGACTGATTTACACAGACATGATTTACAAATTCAGAATTAGTAATACTGTTTTAAAATACCACTAAGGGAATGTGAAATAAGTGCAATAAACTTCTTTTAAGCCATTTTAAGAACTATTAGTCATACTGAAATATAACTTTCATTAAAATGAAAACCAAGAAATGTTATGTCTGCAAATAACCCATCATTTCAAAGCAATTATGCTCTAGGTAAAACTCAGGATTAATGGTGTGGATTTGACATTGTAGTAGTCCTGGCAGTATACAGGCATGAAAGAGCCAAGATTCTGTACGTGTGTGATCAGTACAAATGCAAATGCGTTGGATAACCACTCATATTTAGTTCTGACAAGCTGGTAAGTACGAAAGCTCTAAAACCCGTGCTTTACTATTTTTGTGGATAACTGTGTATGGTGGGTAGGTGTATGTTCCGGGGAAGCTGCTCCATCTTTGATACTATGACAAGTTCTGCATTCAGGCACTTTTAGATTTGCTTAGTTTTTTTTCCTGTAAAAATGAAAGTGCTGCTGTCAGAACTGTGCCTTCCCTGCTGCGGGAATTAGATCCAGACAGCGTGACTTGAAAAACACGGCAGCTGGAGCACTCGAGACTCCACTTTGGGAGAAAAAACTGAGGTCTAGCCTGCAGCTCCAGCCCGGGGCTGAACCTGCTCCCGGGCGAACACGGCCCATGGCCAACACAGCATCACAAGATCACTGTTCTGGGGATGTTGTTTGAGGTAACAAAGAGTCATTCCAACACCAACAGTCTGAATCTGGAGCGGAACGTGTTTCGGCCCCGACACCGACGGAGTTCGACGTGGAGAGGCCTCAACCAGCGGCCCGAGAGCTCCCGGGCAGCGTTCGGCACCACTGGCATGGGGGTGACCGGAGCCCTGTCCCTCCCGAGGGCACGGGGGATGCCGCCGCGGGGTCCAGCTCTGCCCTCCCCGCGCCCCGGGCGCCATTAGCGCTACGTGACGGCCGCCTCGGCGCCGGCGTGGCCGTCCCGCGCGGGCTCCCCGCCACGGGATCCCCGTCCCGGGCGGGTTCCCCGCCACACCCCGTCACAGGCTCCCCGTCCCGGGCGGGCTCCCCGCCACACCCCGCCCGTCACGCCGCACGGCGGGTTCCCCGTGCCCGGGATGGCGCTGACGGTGCTGGACGTGGCGCACTGGAGCACATGGGCGGTGTGTGCCGTGATCAAGCTGCCGCAGCTGGCGGCAGTGTTGCAGGCCGGGTCGGCGCGGGGGCTCAGCGTGAGCAGCCTGCTCCTGGAGCTGGCCGGGTAAGGCGGCGAGGGCACACGGGGACAACGCGGCGTGTTCCCCCCGATCTGAGCAGTAGGTGCGGGGGCGCGGCGGGAGGAAGCGCTGGGGCCGCGGATCCCCTCGGCCGGGGGTCCGGGGCGCTGCGGCCGCGCTGCTGCAGCAGCCAGGGATTAATTCCTTCCGGCGCGGCTCGGGCCAGGCGTGAGGGCGCTTTGAGGGGCGGCTCGAGAGGCAGCGAGCACACCCCGCTGTCTCGGTGTTACATGGCTCCGTTCGGGGCCAGCCCTCTCTAGGAGAGCCCAGAGAGACTTTGGAGAAGGATCTTCCTGTTTCTAAAGTGATTCCGCGCTGTCGTTTAAAGGGCAACGGCTTTTATAACTTGTCCTATACGACGCGTGTCGCTGGAGCTGAGAGCTGCTGAGGGTGCAAGCCGTGTGTCTGAGTTATTGAGTGGCCCGTGTGCCCTGTGGTACAGGTTGTACTTGTCAGACAGGCTCCCCTCACACAAATCAGTAAAACATAATCATCCTTTAGGAAAATTATAAGCCGTGTCAAACTCCAAAGACCTGTCAGCCTGTAATAAGCTTACATAGGCTAGGCTTATTAAATCTTGCCTAAAGAGGATTGTATGGAATGAAAAATAAATAAACTTTGTGCATGCACATTCAGATGTAGGTACAAGTGAGAGTAAATACCTTGAAAAGCCTCATGTTGGCCAAACCGATGGATGGAGGTAGGCAGAACATCCAGCCAGATGGCTGCTAGCTCCCTGCACCAGCCTAAAACAGGGCTTTTTATTCAGATAAATCCCCTCACAAAACCGGCATGTTGTTTCTGAACTCACCTGTGACGTCTTCAGGCAGGGGCACAGCTGCTGACCCTGGTCTGGCATTTAGGTGTACGGACATCTCAGAGTTAATTAAGTAAATTCTAGTTCCAGCAGAGATTAGTGACCCCACAGCTCCAGCCAGAAAGTGGTTGCAGCATTTTAAAATCATTTGTGTGCATTAAAAAAGCTTTGTAAGTAATGCTTCGGATGAGCATGGCGAAGCCATAAATGTCTCCTAAGTACCTGTGTGATAGCTGTGGTACTCACACCACTGCAGTGTGGGTCTTCTTTGAAACATTTATTGGGACTGTTTGTTTATTTAGTAGACTATTTATCCTGCAGCTTTTAAAGACTTTGAGTCCAGTTGCAGGGAGCTTTGGGACTACTGGTGCAAGCTGGGATGGTTCTGCAGAGCAGGCATGCAATGACAAGGCAGAGGAGTGATAGATAAGCATGGTACTGATGGCAGGGAGTCTAATTTGACTTTATAACAAGGAAGTTCAAATATTTAAATTCTGAATACTGTAAGAAACAGTTTCTTACAAGGCAGGCTGTTCCTTGTGCCATCTTTCTTCCCTGGAAACCATAAATTTTTCCTTACATAAAATTGTTCTCAGAGTCCTCTCTGTTTCCTCTGTGCAGCCATGAATTTTCTGTCTAACCCCATGGACTTGCAGGAGAGTGGAAAGTAGAGAAAACATTATAAAAATTCCATTCTTTTCAGATACTGTGTTTTGGATTGGCAGGAAGGAGAATTGCCATTGTTTGGTGCACTTAGGAACAGACTCTCAGTCTGACTCGTAGAGCTATACTGGGCAGTCTCTTAACAGTGTAGTCTAGACAGCTTGGAAGACATTTTCTACTCTTGTAAAACTTGCTTAATGTAGAGATTGAACCACAGTCATAAATAAATCTGAATTATCCTAGAGGTGCCAGGGTTCTTGCAAAAAGAAGGTATTTCCTAGGTCTGGAAGCCTTTCTTTCTTTCTCACCAGTTGTAATTAATAAAATTATGCCTTACACACTCTGCCATAAAGAACTCAATGAGAAGTGTGTGCAGCTCTCTACCTCTTATTCTATTTGAGGGTCACAGAAATAGACTACAGAATGATCAGGCTTGCACTTTGTGCCCAAATTTGTTTGATCAGTTTGACAGCAGGGGCTCTCTTGTGCCTTTTGGCACCACCAAAACAGTAAAAAGTTGTGAAGATGCTGTTGTGTCCCTTTGTGCAGTCACCTTGTTTTGTATCTCTCTGTTCAGCTTCATTGTGTTTCTGAGGTACCAGATCTACTATGGTTACCCTCTGCAGACATACCTGGAATATCCCATCATCATTGCACAAGGTAATTTTTTAAAACCATGTTTTGGAAATGAAACAGGGCTCATTCAGCACTCCCAGGCTCTGCTTGTAGGTACAGTAGTCCACTGCAGTGATGCTGGAGTTGGAGGGGAGAGGGAGTGAACATCTCAAATAAAATTGAATTATAAATTTCATTAAAAGAGATGGTAAGGTAGGGGAGAAAGACCTAATTATTACACAGAGTTGCAGTGTAAGCGCATCCTTTATCCAGTACCTCCATGTAGGAGAGAAACATTTTAAACGCTCCAGACTTGATGAAGAGCTTTGTTTTGGAGCTTGCAGTATTTTGGACATTAAGCACATTTGAGAGACAGAGCCTGTAAGAAAGGAGTTGCCACAGACATGGTGTCCAGTGGAACTGTCTCGGATTGCGTTCGGGCCCCGCCCGTCCCTCTGTGATGAGCTATCTTTCATTTATTTCAGATGTCATTCTCCTTCTGTGCATTCTGCATTTCTTTGGGAAAATGAAACGAGCTTTGTTCTTTGCAGTTATGTATCCTTTGATATCTGGGAGTTTTGGGTTATGTGAGTTGTTTGATGGTTCTTTGCATAGCAGCTATGTCATCATTTGTTTTGTGCTACTGTTGTAAATCATTTTCAGCCACTCCTTGACGTACATTCCACATTCACATTCTGATTTCTTGCATCACGGTAAATCTCCACAGGAAGTAAGCTTCATATGTAGCTATGCTTTAGAAGACTGCCAACTGATAAAGAGTAAACCCAATTCTTAATTTACATCTTTGCTAGGGATGCAGAGTAGAAATGACAAATCTTATTTCTTTGATTCCCACCCATGCACGTTATACTTGCTATGATGAAGATAGCAGTGTTTGTTTGTTTGTTTTTAGATAGGACTTTAGTTTAAATCTCAAATCTTGTGCTTTGGAGCAAGTTTTGAGAAACTACAGGCAACTGCTCAACTGAAGACAGTGTGAAAAATAGGAACACTTAATGTTTCAACCAGTGCTTAATATGTTTTATCTGGATTGTATAGTCTGTTACAAAGTTTCAATAAGATTGTTTCCAGATGTTTTAAAAAAATCTAATTCCTCAGGCAGTTTTGAGAACTTTGTATCCTAGAATTTTCAGTGCTATGAAACTTAACTTAATGTCAGATTTTGGGGGGGCTGGTACATGCTAACACTGCGGAAGTGGATAATAGACCTGGCCATGGTAAGTGCTGCATGTTTATTTGAAAGTAGGTCTTCATATGAAATTGCTTTTTTTATAGAAGTCTTTATCAGTGGAATCTCTCCTTATATTTGTCATTGGAATAAGGACAACTTTAGCTTTCAGAATAACCAACCAGTTTTCAAATACAACTGGTTCTCTCTTCTGTGAGTAGCTGGAAAATATCAGTGGCAATAGAGACTCTATGGTGAAAAAAAAGGTATGTTCTAAGTTAAAGTTGCTAATTGGTGGTGCCTTAATTAAAACTAGGAGATGCTTAAGATGTTGAAATTCTATTGCCACTTTAGTCCTAATGTCATAATCCCAACCAATAAACCTTTAACACAACAGGAAGAGAATGGACCGTCAGTCAAAGCATTTGGAACAGGACATGTGAAACAATTTTTCCCCTTTTGTCCTACAATTTTGCAAGAAAAATACCATCTGATAATGCCTACATAGGTTAGAGATGGTCTTTTCTCTTTTTACCATAAGAGAGAAAGTAAAAATGTAATTGAGATGAACTGGAGTTGCTAATGCAAAAGATGATACAAATGGGGATAAAAACTTCTAAGCCTAACTCCAATCCTTACTTGCAAGGGAAATCTGGGCATGGCACAAAGGCCTGTGTGAAGGTGCTCTCTACCTGCTGCCTTTGCAAAACCCCCTTAAAAAGAGTGACAGTGAATAGTGCATTCCTGTTATTATTTTTTTCCCTCCAATTGGACTAATTTTCCACACATTCTTGTCAGTTTTCTCATTCCTTTATGGTTTGGTTTGCCAGACATAGTGGTAACAGATGGTCTGAATCAACCTTGCTGTTTAGACTAGATCAGTCCCATTTCAGCTAACTTTCATAAACAGTTTTATGGAGCAGGTTAAGAAGCTTTTTTTGTTTCTTTGCTTTTTATTGTATTTGCCTCTATCAAGCATTTGCCAGCAACAGTAGCAACTGTCCTGCTCTTTGAACCTCTTGCTGGGCTGTACCTCAGAAATCAGTCCCTTGTTTCTGGCAACTTCCAGTTTTGGCTTCACTGTTCCTTAGTAAGAACCAAAGCACTTGGGTTGCCAAATACCGGCCTTTATTCTAAGTGGAAAAGCTAGTTCTGTTCAGATAATACAATAGCAGAGGTTCTTTCTCTTTTTTTTTTTTACCTGCTTTTCAGAACCTGTGCACATTCATCAGTGCAGCCAGTAAGCTGGTTCAGCTGTGGTGTCTCTGGCAGACCAAAGATTCCGGACAAGTGAGCGCCTTGACCTGGAGTCTGTCTGCATACACCTGTGCAAGTAAGCCATGGGCAACTTGGTGTGAAGTACTGAGTTCTCTTAATGCCTCTTTCCATAGGTATTTACTTATAGGTAAAGATCTTGCCTGAGTTTCCCTTAATGCTGACTCCTCAGACTCTTGAAATCAAGTTTTATCTTTGACACCAATGATATAAACCAGTGACTTAAAACCCACGTGAATATGGCCAAGGGAACCTCAGTTGAAATAACTGAAAGGCTGTCTTTATGAAGAAAAGATTTCCATGTTCTAGGATTTAATAAAATTACTAGTGATCCAGCATGAAAAGGTGCTAACACTTGAGTTAGACAATTAGGCAATGCTAATTTTGAAGTTACCTATAAATAAGTACACACTGATAAATACCATTAACTCTGTGGCTATGCATAATTGCATTTCTGGACAGAGAATTTAAGAACAGTTATTTGTAGAGTTCCTGTGGTAGTTCCCCAGTGGTCTGCATGAACAGTTCTACAGCTTTTGGTCAGAAGTGCCAGTGCCTTTCTCATCTTCACAAAACTTGTTTAAAATATTCTCACTATAAAACACAGTGATGCTGGATCTATTTCCACATGAAAGTGAATAATTAGAAATTTTGGTATGTTTGCTGAACGATGTAAATGCTTTTAGTCTGATGCAAATGTGAACTAATTAACGTTTAGGTCCATTGTGGGAAGGAAAACTGATTTCCTTGTATTTGCAGAAGGCTGAAAGCACACATGTGGACATTCACAATGGTTAAGTTACTTGATTGGGGTGTAAGTCACTGTCAACTACTGAAGGAGGGGCTGAACAGAAAAAAAAGCAGTATCCTCTGGCCACATCCAATCTGTATCTATGTGATAGATACAGATATAAAAGTTCTAATTATAGCCATTATTTTCTCATTGAAAAAGACCCTTAATACATTGCCACTCACCTTTGAGAGCATGATCTCTGAAGCTAAAATAGTGAAGAATTGGATGTACTAAAAGTGGGAATATCTGTACAGTGTATGTTTTCATGGAAGATTACCCTCTGTTGAAAAATAGATATTTCATCATTTTTTAAAATTAAAAATGTGTCATGTGTTCCACTAATCAGAATTCATTCAATTTACAGCAAGAATATTTACAACTCTAGTGACTACAAATGACCTCGCAGGTGAGTAAAGTTTGGAACTGCCTGCCTTTCCAAGGGAACAGCTGCCACAGTAGTTTTTAGGTCTTTTGTAAAACAGCTAAAAGGTCGCAGAAGAACAAACCATGAACGTGGTGGGTTAGCATGGTAAGGGAAGGAGTTGCCAAAAAAAGTAGCACAAGATTACAAATCAGGAAAATACATCAAGAAAAAAAAAACAAAACACAAAAAACTGCTCACACTTATTACATGGTACAACTGGTCCAAAAGATATTATTTTTTTCAAGAGGCAAAAGCACTATAAAATTAATTCTAAAAATAGCAGAGTAAAGCATTAAAAATCTTTACTATTTAAAAATAATGTAAAATATAACTTAAAAACTCTGTAGTAGTTGAATGAATTTTTCAAATAGGAAGTGCTTCCTTTTTGTATTGAGGGCTTTCTGAATTAAAAATTCTTCTAGAAAACTAAAGTTCAGCTTAGTATATGAATAGTTTTAGGCACAACATTCAGAAAGTTTTGGCAGGCTGAAAATGAAATGGTAGGCTGGTAAGAAACTCACAAAAATTGACTTAAAATATATAATATGCAGCTGATTTAATTATGAAGTAAATTTATTTAACAGGTTCTTACCATCCTGAGAAAACTGCAAGAGCTAGGGAGTGTAACAGATTTTTCAATAAATGGTTTAAAATCAAGACTTGGTGGATGCAAGAACAGTAACAAAATCCCTTTGTGCTTCATCTGGTCGTTCCTTGTTCTCGTTCAAAACCGCTGTTTCATCAGAAGCATCATTTGAATGAATTTTATCCTTTTTAAGCAGCACATTAAGGCCACAGCTTTACAAGCATTTCAAGCAGCTCTTTCACTGGAAAAGAAGTCCCATTTCAATCCCCCATTTCCACCCCTATGCTTGCTGCTTTCCTTTTGCCAGAGTAAGGAGTTCATGGGGCCATGATGTTAACTGGGTCACTAAAAATTTGGCAGAATGCACGTGCAGGAATTTAGTCAGGGTCAGGTACTGAGCCCACCTCACCTGCAGCTACACACACAGAGAGAAGTGAGAGAAGTTCACTGCGGGGAGGGAGGAAACACCAGGAGAGTAAAGCTGGCTCTGGGTAAAGCTGCTGTATAAAACCCAGCATCATCACTTTGGAACAGGGAAGAGACAGCAGCAAACATTGATGCTGTGCTGCTCTAATGGAAAATGTTTCCAGTTAACTTGTAACACTTGTAACATCCACATGTACAGAACTGTCAGATATCTCATACTTCTGAAACAAAATTTTGTGTGCATTTCTGTGAATATTCCAGTTACCAAACAGACATTAGACATACCTGTACTTCAACCTCTGGTTTCACAGGTAGAAGTACTATGCCTGTTATGGTTTTTAAAAGAGCTGAGTTATTCAAGGTACTGAAAAACTGATTTTTTGTCAATTGTCAGATTTTCCATCATTAAAATCTGACAGATAGAGGTTATTTCCTGTCTCCCCAATGGCTACACTTAACAGATGGCAATAGAGAATAATCCCTTTATTATAAACAACACATGCAACTCTAAAGGACATGATCTGCAACTCTGAGTTTAGCTTTTGGTGTAAATAAGAACTAATATGAGGCTACTCACACTTGTACTACTCTCCTGGCTTTGTTATAAAATAATTAAATGTACTGCAGTGTATCATTTTCAGATATCACTGCAAGCTAAATGCTCTTTTCTGTTGTATTTACACTCAGAATTTCTGGGTTCCTGAATATAGTAATTAAAACTAATTGGCTGAAAAGAGTTGCAGAATAGGAACCAGCCTCTCTGTACACCAGCAAAGGTTTACAAAACAACTTGTCCTGTGAAAATAACAGCAGTTGGGTTTTTTTTATTAATGCTTACAATATTTTTTTTCCCTTTTAGTTCTCATCCGTTTCATAACCATGCTCATTCTCAATATTTGGGTCACAGCCACAATCCTGCACTACAAGAAGACTAAAAAGACCGATTAGAAGACACTGATTAACACACATATCATTACCATGAAAAAAAGGCAAACTACAATTAAGCTTGAAGAACACAACAAAGGTTGAGGAAACTCCCTGTCTCTCTCAAGCCTAATATTTACCCCTTAGCATTCTTATAGTATGTACAGTTCTTACAGTATAGTACCTCCATGCTTACTTTATCTAAGAAATAATTTTGATAAGATACTTAATTTAAGCAGCATATTTTTATTGGTCATTTCAGACAAGTTTCACTAATATCACATTTTCTCTGGATTTTTTTACTACAACGTATTTTGTAATTAGATGTTTATATATTCTTGTATCACTTCAGTACTTTCTGGTTACATATAAGCAATTTTCTTCAGTTTATACATGATCAATTTTGTACCAACATACCGACTTGTCTTTCTGCTGCAAGATTGAAAAACCACAACAGATGTTTGTCTTGCAAGCAACTCAGTTAAACATTAACTATCTGTATTTTAGGATGAAGAAAATCTGAGTCAAGGCCCAATCCAAAATAAGGTTCTAAATGTCTTTTACTAAGTCACAAATCCACTTGGGATTGTAACACTTACATGCAACACTTAAATAGTACAATTTATACAGCTGATACAGGATACCCTTGGTCACTTTCTTCAGTATACCCAGTTTTTATTGGATAAGAGCAGAAACTCAACTATGAATTCTTCTTTTCCAACCTGAGCTCTCATTCACTGAACATACTGTTTTGGGAGCATCGGAGACTGGAATGTACGGGAATGAATGAAACTGACCACCAGTTCAAAAAGGTGTTCAAGCAGAAGTTCCTGAACCGATGTCCAGAATCCCCAAACACAATCCATACTGACAGTGACCTGGCTACATGTGCACCTTGATGCACCTCAGCAGGCTCATCTCCCATGGTTGGTCAGTTTTTGGTGATACTGCTCTGTGGTTAATTAGTTTTTGGCCTGTCTGTGCTAAAGGGTATTGAAGAACATAGACTTCACTTAAATTTTTACTTCAGAGATTCTAATCAATTTGCAGTACTTAGAGTAAAAAGGGGCAAAAGGGTATTCTTGAGAACTATTAACGGGATTTTGCCTTTGGAAGCAATGCCTTCTAAACCAAAAGTTACATTAGTAATCACATATCTTGTCTTCATTTCTCATTACATTCTCAAAAAGATACATCATTTCAAAAGACTTCTTACGGTATTCTGTTCATTGGCATGTACAAACCAAGGCACCCTTGATCCCAACACTCCTGAAAACTATGGGAAGACTGCATTGACTACATTAGAGGCAGGTTTTCTTTGCAACATGCTAAATTGTGGGACTCTTATGGAGGAGCGGGATGTGCAAAAGCAGATGTTTCCACCAGTGAACACTCAGCAATCAGACTGAGACTTTCACCATCAGAAAACAGCTGCTTTGTTTTTAGAGTGGGAAGGGGTGGGAAGAGGTGTTTCTGTGGATCTAGATTTCATGTATCTCACATTACTGAGGGCAAGTCAAAGATGAGCATTTTTACTGCTACAATAAAATATATAAATCTTTCTATGTTGGTTGAGAGATTAACTGTAAACATTCTGTTACGGATTTTACTAAAGCTGTGTAAAGTATCTGAAGTGGTCTAAATGGTGGCAGGTGGCATGTGGTACATTTTTCAGGTGGTATTAATAAATGCTATTCTTCAAGATTGATAATGTCATTCTTACAGTTAATTTTCATTGCATTTGATTTTTTATTCTGTTTTCATATATGGAGAGAAAATGAAATATTCATTACAGGTCATAAATGGGCAGCTTTTACCCTAATTATTTGAAGCATCTGACTGAATATTAACCTGTCAAATGCTAAAGAGTTCCAGCATCTTAAAATGAAAAAAAGAAACACACTTAATTTTTTTTTTCAAATTAAAGCCTCTTCTTGATAGAGAAAGATTTGGATGGAGTTCAAACCCCCTCTGTTATTGACATGTTTCATACTCCTGAGTGATGCTGCAGCAAAGTGAAGCTGCTCCATTTTTGGTTTGAGAATCAGCACCTTCATTTGGTTTTTTTCATCATAAAATGCTGAAAATGCATTTAAGAAAGTTCTTAATAGGATACATAACATATTTTGAATAAATCTCCTTAGAAGCCTGTGTGAAAAAAAAAGACTGAGGAAAAGAAACAAAGCTGGGTAATTCACGAGCTAAGGTAAAGTAATTTTGTGGACTTGGAAAGCTGGACCATGAGTTCTCATTCAAGCTGCAAGAGATATGGAACAAATCAGACAGTAGCAGTTAATAGTTTTACACTTTTTTTCCTCCCAGAGAGTAATTTCCTTCACTTTTGTAAGCAGACATACATTCCAGTTCTGGGCAAGCCCCATGAAAGCGCTGACCTTGTGTTTTCCAGTATGTAAAGCATAATCTTCTCAGTGGCTGGATTAAAGGCAGCAGCTTTAGACAAGATACACAAGGAGGATAAATCTTGTTAAACTTGTCATTCATCAGTATCGGGTGGACACAAGTTGGTTGCTGCCTAATGCAGCAGTGAGCCAAAGGCAGGCAGGGAAAGCTGCTTGGATTTATTGCAGTGGGTGTAAGCCAGTAAGCCACTTTTATTCATGGGACTGGAAGTAATAAAGCTCCATTCACAGATGCTGCGTGAGTGTGGAATTACACACTCCGTGTCTAATTGCACCAGTTCACAACACGCTCACAAGGTAACACAGCCTGTCCTGTCCTGGCTGACAAAACCAGGGCCCTGTCAAGGCTTTCAAAAAGTTTGTTTCCTTGCCTGTGAAAAGACAAGCTCTGAATTCCAGTACAGTCCACTGAACAACTCCAAATATCTCCAGCTGTGGATATGATGAACTGTGACCGGGCATTTGGCAACAGGTAAGCTACAAGCTCACTTCAACTGTATGAGAGAAAACATTTACCAGATTTACTATCCAGAGGAAGGAATGAGGTCGTGACTCGAGGCAGCAGGCTGTGTGCCTGAAAGTGAGGATGTGAACAGTGTAAGATGCACTGAACTGTCCTCAGTGAACAGCAACATCAAACACATGTGCAATACCATCCTCTCCCCCACTCTCTGGGCCTTTCTAACACAGGGCATTTTGTGCAGAGTAAAACAGTGCACAAAGATGTGTTTCTTTGTGCTACTCTAATCCAGCAAAAGATGCTGTTGCTTGGACTGCTCAGGAGTCCCTGTCCCTGCCTGACCCCCAAGCCTCTCTCACTGGCCTATGCTGTGCATGTAGCTGCTCCCTATCCTGGCTCTGCTAATCTCATCTATTAAAAGAGGAGAGAAAGGAGTAGGGCAGGGAGGCAGCAATGCTCACAACCACTGAAGCTCCAAAGGTGAATTTTAGTGCAGTTTGACTGTCTGGAGGAAGTAATTCACAATTAGCTGAAGAGTCCCAACCAGCTTAAAACTTGCAGAATGGCTTCATTCACTTCTTTAAATGAGGTATCCTCCACCAAACAATCGTTATCTATTTAGGGACATATGTAAGGCAAAGGGGCAGGAGGAATTAACCCCTGAGAGCCCACAGGAGGAACTGTTATAAATGAAAAGCTAAACAGATGTGGAGATCAACTCAAATGAGGTAGTTTGCCAGCCATGTATTTTCTCTGATGATAAATAATAATTACTCCCCTCCAAATTCTCTTCAGGCTGGTTTGTTCCACTCCCTTCCAAATTCTTCGATACTTGGAATTCATATTTATGTATTAAGCAGAACATAAAATGTTGCCTTCATCAATAATAATGCTCTGAGGATGTCTCAGTTTGGAAGGTGAGAAAGCTGAAAAAAAATCTCAAGATGTTATTAAGTTCTTGATTGGTACTGAATTTTAATTCACTTGATTTTGAGCCAGAGTTCTCCAGGATGCTTCAGAGTTCTCAGAGATAGCTGTTGAGGTCAAACAGGTGTCTGGGAACCACAATAAACATCACCTAAGAACGTGACAGCTCATCACTTGAGATGGATCCAATTGCAAGACCTTGGCAGTCTCAGAGACCTGAGTCCCAATGGACCTCAGGTGTTTCCTGCCTGATGGCAAGATAGACATACAGATATTTTCAAGTTAAAGATGTCAACTATTCCATTCTACACTGGAAGTAGTTTGGGGCAAACACCATCTCTGTCTTGAAAAATAACCCAGTCTTTGGACCAGGGGTAAAATAAGAGGCTTTTTAAATTATACTTTTGATGAAATTTAACTGGGGATATCTGAAAGACAATTTAAATACTTGTCAAAATTTTGTTAACACCCTGTTTTGTTTCATTATTTCAGCTCTTAACTGTCTTAAATTGTCAGTAGCCTACTTCTGTGCATTATGTGCTATCACCGACGCACAGGGAGGGAACATTAAGTGGACAAACATCTTGTTTTATCTGTCAAATATTCTGGAAACTGATGTAAAGAACAGAACCTGCACCAGCCTAAAATGTGACAAGAGAAGTTAGCTAATGATAATTCTGATTTAAACTGAATAGTAACATGGCTTCATGCTGAAAGTCAATTCTACTTACCACCCTATTGTAATTGCAAGTCATCGGTGCATATGCCTGCTCTGCAATGTACAAGAATTCTGCTTTGGAATTTGGAGGCTCTGGCCAGCAATACCAAGATGCTGACCTGACTCATATTATATGAAAATCATAAATGGAAGAATACACATCCTATGCCTCAGTGTCCTCTCTGTCATGTAAATCATGACTAATGAAGCACAAATTGAGCTCGTGTAAAGCATATTTTAAGTACCCAATTACTGTAAAGAAATTCTTTCACCTTTGAGCAACTGACTAAATACAGATTCCAGTGGTCTGACTTTCAAGAGAGTGACTTATCTTGTGAGATTTAAATTTTTTTTCCATGATATGCACTGTTGGCACAACTTTCAGTCCTCATGGACTCTGAGCTCAAGGATACTTTCCTCTCTCAGCTTTGTTTTTTTTTTAAGCTTGCATGTTTGCCCACCTTCCAGTAATACAACTCCCATTGCTGTATCTCTGAACAGGATACGAAACATGCAGGGGAGCCTCCTTATTGTATTTATCTAGTCCTTCCATCACTGCAGAGGGAGGTAATGGCTACACAGATCCTACTGAATCTCTTGGCCTCCAGGACATAAGGATTGTAATATGCTGGACATCACACAGACACACGAGGCCATGGGATCCAGCAAATAAATGCAAGTCCTGAAGCTGCAGCCAGACCTGCACCTATGTGCAAGATCTGCTTTGAAGGTCTATTGGAAAGTGGAACACAGCTGAGGCAAGAGACACCACCAGGGCAAGCAGATATGAAACAGGGCTCAGACAGTGGGACTCCTGGCTTCTTCAGCCTCAAAAAAGTTATTTAATATCTCAGATACCTCCAAAGAACATTTCCACCAGTTCACTTGTTAATAAAAAAGTAGCATATATCCAAGGCAATTCAGTGCCTGAAGTTGGTAACCCAAAGGAAAAGGATTGGCAGTGACATCACAAGCCTGATGTACTTCTTATTGGGTGGCCATGCTTACCCAGTGCTGCAACAGCATCCTAGGCAAAAAACACCCCAAAGAGCAATGACAAATGACAAGAACTAGATGACCTACGAGGCCCACTGGTACACAGTGTAAGAGTATACATACAAACAGGCTCACATCTTTGAACACCGAAGGCCTCGACCTCAAAATGCGGCAATAGACCAAAGCATCACATGCAGTTGTCTGTGAAAGCATTTCTATGTAGCTCCTTCAACAAATGAAATTAGTTCTCTCTGCCCTTTCTTTTCAGATTGACATTGTGTTTCCAGATTTCTTTAAAGTATGCGGGACTACACACATTTATAACTTTGAATTTTGCTACCTTTCACTGTGACTTTCCTTTTGAGAGATCACTTTTATCCTAGAGCTTCTCTTAAGATTATTGGAGCAAAACCAGCTGCAGTCAAATCCAAAGCTTCACCCTTCCATTAGCAAGCAGTAACATGTCTTTCTTACCTTTATAAAACAACGCTTCCTTCCTACAAAGAAGCAAAGACTCCAAACGCCAATCTTCTCTAATAAGGCCTGGTAATCAGCATCCCTGTGCCAATAAATTACAGTTCCTCTGCATCCCCACTTCTTGGAGCTGTGGTTTTACAGTGAGATTTTCCATTCACTACAGTAGTTTCTGGGGACAATTAGGCTCGATGTGTTAAGCCACGGTGCTCTTTTCAGCCACATACATCTCAATAGACTCATCTCATTTCTCAGATGAGAATGTCTGAGTGTATTCCTGTCCACTTGATAGGCAACTTCAACCAAGAACACAAACTAGTTTCAGAACCACTCCATCAACATCTTTTACAGAGATCCAAAAGAAGACTCCTTCCCACTCTTACGGAGGATACTTCTAAGCAGTAGGAAAAACCGCATGATCCTTGGGATGCTGATAAAACCCTAAGTGGTTCAGAAGCTAATCTTAAAAATCACAAATAATGTTTTCAATTTAAAGTGTACTATGTGCAGAGATGACAGTCCATAAAAAACTGTAATGCACTGAAAAGGCACCAAGCCTGTCAAAGTTCAAGGAGTGTCTGGATGATGCTGTTGGTCATATGATTTAGTTTTAGGTTGTCCTGTGAAGAGCAGGAAGTTGGACTCCATGACCCTTATGGGTCTCTTCCAACTTGAGATAGTCTCTGATTCTATGATAAAATAAATTAATCCTTATTTTAACATCAATGCTGAGGCAAACTATCCAGGAATGTGAAAGAGACTGAAATACTCAAGTTCACTGAAGTGGACCATGTACTGTTATGTTCACCTGCCTCAGAAACAGAATTAGGAGACAGTAAGAGTTTGTAAGAGCAATGCAATGCAGGTAAGAAGTTTGTTTTCATATACATTCTCCCTTTTCACAGCAGCATCCCAAATATCACCTCACAAGCATAGGATGGGTAAAGGCACTTGAGACCAAAATATACAAATCCTCTTCCAAGGATGATCCTCTCAAAGCTAGATGGGAAACTAATAGATTATAAGATTAAAAACACAAATGCTCAAATTTCTCATGATCACTTGACATTGCCTGAGAAACTAAAGAGAAAAAGCATACAATTTCACTGGCAGCTTTCCTGGCCTTGGTGCCTTCAGAGAGCCACTGAATGTCTGTCAAAATGTAGGCGGTTCAGTGCCATCAAGAGGTAGTAAGAGATCTGGACACCTGCAGTGGAATTTCAGTGATGTTTTTAATCTGGCCCCTGTCACTGACTGCCGAGATCCATGGGCCTCTTGCATGTTTCCAAGTCCTACATGGTATGTGATTCTGTGTCACATTTTGGTTACAGCATCAACCATGCTCAGAAGCACAAGAACCACAGTTTTCCTCTAGTAAAAGCAGACGTGGTGCTGGATTGCTGGTAGTGCTGGGAGGGCTGCGCTTTGGCAGGAAACACTAGAAGTAGGGAATTGCAGCACACAACTAGGACAGAACTGGAAATCTCCTTGCAGAAAGGTCTTTCTGACAACTGACACGGTTAACTCCAACGGGGTCTTCCTGTCCAGCTTCTCTGCTGGTGAGCTTTTGGATTGGGAATTAAGAGCAACTTCCCTACAAGTGTCCGAAGCTTCTGGATCCAAGTTTGATCCCTGATTTTTCCAGAAGGTTAATCTGCAGCTTGGCCATGCTACATGTTTACTCTTGTGAAACAAAAGGACTTGCAGTGAGAGAATTTTCTATAGATAAATCATTCAGGCCATAAAAATGTCCTGTTTGCTGGGACAACCCTGTTACAAAATGAAAGTGTTTAAACATCTGTGGCTTTCAAGACAAATATTCTTTAGTTCATGAATATACCCTTCTCTCAAAAATGTTAAAAGGTCACCACTGGACAATAAGGAAACAACACAATCTCCAGGAACTGGCATTTAAGAGTTCTTTGCGTTTCACAGCAGGACAAGTGAGAAGAACAGAAGAGCAGCTTTGCCTTTTGTGTCCTGTGTACAAATCCACGTTCATACACATCATACCACTGGCCTTGAGGAACCGGTGCTAAGTCAGCCCTGCTCTGAGGTAGAGGTCAGAGCACAGGACCTCCAGGGCTCTCTCTCAGCCTGTATTGCTCTACAACACCATCTCAGTACAGCCTGCTGCAATGTATAAATGCACAGAACGTATAACCTGGGGCCAGTAAATACTATAATATAGTACATTTCCTGAAATGTCAGGCTTAACAGGGCCCCAGGGATTAACAATAAATGAGGGCAGGCCAGGGAGAGAAAAGTGCAACGGATCCAGCCCCAGCAGTGGAGCAGCTGCCAAACAGCTCCCCTGGAGTCTGCGTTCCCTCCTCACACAGGCTTTGTCCTTGCCTTTCCCATGTCTGCCGCAGTAGTTGCCTCTATAATTAAATTCAATTAATTACCAGCTTCTCAAGTTCAGGAACTATTTTACCTTACTCAAATAGTTTATTTAAAAATATATATATAATATTCTCCAATTCAGAAAAGGATAGAACTTCCCACAATGTAACATTTTTTTATATATATATATAAAATATTTATGCATTCAGTGAACGGAAACAGTTTTACTGTATACATTTTTAATGTTGTTCTCTATGCATATCTGCATTACCTAAAAATATACCGTACTTCTGTAAATCAAAACAAGCAGGGAAAAAACACTGTAGCTGTGCGCTGGGTTAGAATACCTAATAAAAAATGATATGAAAGTTTTAGCTTTGATTTTAAGAACTCACAAACAACATTTTACTTTGTGAGTGCATAAATAGAAGACTGAATACATTCTGGCTCTGTTAAGCTGAACTGTAGTAGAGGTTACAAAATGTAAATATACTTTTTAATTTTCAGTATTTCAGTGTTTCCAAGTTCACTTTTCATGATAGTGTTAAATAAATCATGGTCCTATCCTTCCAAACATTTCAACACTCTTTAAAAAACAAAAACAAAAACAAATTTAAAGTGAAATGTCCTCCTTCATTGAAGTGTTAGATCATATTTTAAATTACTGCACTCCCACACAATATTTTATATATATATATATTTTAAATATATATATATATTTATATATATATAAAGAGACCAAATAGGAGACTATATTTTTTACTGTCAATATGTTTAACATCGCATACTGTAGTTGTATAAAACATGCATTTTCTGGGATAATTATGAACACATCATGAATGAGCCCACATAAATTATATTTTTTGTACAACTCCAAGTTAAAAAAAAGAAGTCAGATTAAGTGCCTCTGAGGCCCTTTCTTCCCAGCTATCAGTTCTCAAAACACACTACTGAAATATTTATCTATGCCTACAGCTATGTGCTAGAGAACCAGATTAAAACTTTAAAATACATCTACAGTATGTTTTACTTTTCTTAAAGTTTGTGACAGTCCTTGGATATTGTGTTGTGAAATGTAAAAATAGTCACAGATTCTTTTTCTTTCCAGAAATAAAAAAAAAAAACACATCTAGGAGAGTATGCAAAAACAAGGCAAAATGAAGTTTCATAGCACTTAATGAGGGTTAATATAAGTCAATAACTAGTATTGAGGTTCGTAAAAAGGGCTGGATGAGCAGTTACATGTACAAGCAAATGGTCTGGTAATTCCAATGCTCTCTGACATTGTTTCTGTAACCAACACTTCTCCACCCTTAAAACCAGTCAATATACATTCAAAATAGGCTGACATTGATATACTTACTAGGTGTAAAAATAGTGCACTATTTTTTCTGCCACAAAGCAAAATTGCATTCTAAGAGCCGGTAAACTTTCTTTTTCCTTAAATAGAAAGAATGGGCAAAAAAAAATTGAAAAAAGTTTAAATTAAGGCAATTAGACAGGTAAAACAGGACTGCCCATGATGACGTATAGCTGAAATTAGTACATACTTCAAACCTATACTAGCTGCTGAACACTGACATGCAGCTTCTGATAGACGTGTATGAATGATATAAACTTCAACAGTATGGCTTTATACAAGTGCATAGTTGCAACTGCAATAAGTAACGGTATCTGATTAATAAGCATAAAAAAATAAAGTGGAAAGATTTTTAAAACCCTCTTGCAGTATTACAGTACAATATATATACACAGTATAATGGTCACTTCTTACAGATGCAGTCTATATCACTATGGTGGATCTTCCTCCGGTTCTACTTGCAGACGTGCTGGTGGCATCTTTACAAAAGCTGAGAAGTCAGTTTCTTCCATTTTAATATTCATTCCTCTCGATCCTTTAATGAAATGTAGTGTATGCGTCTTGCTTTTGTGGAACAGAGTTTAAAAGGTTACCTAACATATCCTTTTACTATTTGCCAACCATTCCTCAACTGATCAGTCACTTGGGAGAATACAGGAAAACCCTCAGAGATTAGTAATTTATATTGCAGCAAAAATGTAAACCTCTGATATATATAGCACAATCTCTCAGGAAAATATATATTTTTAATATATTTTGGGATATGTTTCAGTCTTGCTGTAATGGGAAGAAAATTATCACCTTGAACTGTGTCTGCATTCACAGAAAGCAGTTAGCTGAAAAAGAAGAAGGAAGGTTGGTCAGTAAATGCAACAAATGTAAATCTGACAAAAACATACTTCTTCAAAGTCTTAATTTAAGATGGGCTCATCATCATACTTGGGAGAAATGCAACCAACAGCATTGTTACTTAAGGACAGCACATCCTTAGGCATTATGATCCCAAATCAGTTAAAACCCCCTTATAATATATGAGGGTACAATATGCACAAGGTAATAGTCACTTCTAAAAGATTAGTGACTTGTAAGCTTTTAGTACATAAAGATGCAGTATATTTAATTAACGTAATGCTTGTTACTGTGAACGCTAAGCTGGTTAATTCCACAGGAGCTGGTGTCTCAGTTCCCTGAGCACAGCTGAGGTGCAGCCCCAGTGCTGCTGCCATCGCCCCTTCTTTTATACAGCTGAGACAAACCTCACATACTGTTTGAAAGAATTCTTAGGCATTTAACATATAGAGGGTTTTTTCTGTGTAAATGAAAGATTGCATCAACATATAAAATGATTAAACTGAGATCTATAAAATAGGTAACACTATTTCCAGTACATTCACAATTAAGCCGTGGGACAAATTAAATCACTGCAATGGCTGGATCTTTCCTAAAGCAGTCAAGGAAACCACATCACAGAAGCTGCAAAGCCCGTTTGTTTACATAATTTTCAAATGCATGGTTAGGTACCCAGAAAGCACAGCACTGCAAAGGAAAGCCAAGTCAAATTCACTTCAGAACACAAGGTAGAAAAGAAAAATGCAGAACTCCAGTGATTTCATGTCTGCTAGCCATAGTCAGTTTATATTACAAGTTTAAAAATGAAAAGTATTTGTAAATGCTAAGTCTATTTCAGCTAAACATCCAGCTGCTACTATCTTCCTTTTATCCTTCAAATACTCTCTGCTGAGGTTAAAAGTATTAGCATTATAGATGAGCAATGACTGACAACAGCAGGGGTTTTTTTCAGGCAGGCAGACATGAATTTGGAAAAAAAAAGATCTAAAATTAGAAAAATGAAAATACTGACAAAGGCAACAACTTGTTCTAATGAAAATTACTCCTCTAAAAGTTCAACATCATGAACAGAATCTCATTTTCACTGTTTAAAATATTAAAATGAGATCTTGTATTTTCTCTGCTTTGAGAAACAAAATCCAACATAGCATGCTGTATTCAAAGGCAAACAAATCCATTCCTCTCTATTTAGATTTACCCCTTATACTTCTTCAGAAATCAAAAACATCGTCATCATCATCACCATCAATATCATCAACATCATCAAATGACCAATCCCAGTCCTTAAATGCCAGATCAAGTAATCTGCAACAGGAGGGTTTGATGTTTAATGAGTGTCACACTTCTATGAAAGTCTTCCAAATTCCTTTTGTTATCATTAAACCTTTTTAACTAAAAGACTATTTTAGGTAGATGGGTTTGTTCCTTTGTCTATCATGGAATATCAAGATTCAGTGTTCATGTAAGCTAGGAATATTGTACTCATTGAAAATTCATCTCAAAAATCATTTAATTCAATATAGAACACTTACCATATTGATTTTTTTCCCAAAAAAATTCAGTAGGAAAGACCAACAAGTACATTTTATAAAATTAGCTGCTTTTTGTTTTGCTGCTGTTCTTGTTGACTCAGGTGGTTTTATGCTCTCCTTTTATCCCTTTCCAGACAACAATGCAAAGCTAACAATTTTTCCGAGAAAATCAAGTAATTTTGATTGCTGAACAGAACAATGAATAAGAAACCTTCCTCTAAACATACAAAATACAGCATTATTTTACTGTATCCCAAATACAGCATGATTACACTATACAGCTATTCTGTAGCTCATGGCTTAAATCTAAGCAATGCCAAAAAAGAGGATATATCAACTTGTTCTCTGGGCCTCGCTGTCTGTGCTCCTTCTATGGTCACTATAGAACAAAGAAAGCAAGCAAGGCAAACTCTGTCAGTAAATGAGTCATTTTACTTTTTTAAGACATTTGTTTTGGGATGGAGTGAATCATTGTCTAGAAGCATTCATCTCTTTCTGTAGTTATTGAAGGATCTTAGACACATATCTTAATTAGTAACTTTTCAACTGCTATAGCTACAAGAAATGAAACCCAGTCTTGTCGTCTCTTCAGTGAGCTCAAAGGACTTTTAATCAGGATTATATGCCAAGCACAGGAGGCAGACATAGAAACCTAACTCTAACAGAGCATCAGTGTAAACAGACTACACTGTTTAATATAGTTAATCACATGCTCTAAACAAAATGGGTTTCAGGAGGATTTGCATTTTTAGGTTTTAAAGTTTTAAACTATTTAAACCTTTAAATGTGATATAGCCCTGAAAAGGCTCAATATTAATTTGTTATATAAACTACAGCTATAAAACTTAATTAATTAGGAATTAAAATATATTAAAGTTGATTTTTTTTCAATTTGAAATTATTCTTTTGGCATGATCGAACAGACAGCTAAATAGAAATTATATGGTCTGTAGGAAAATCTGGTTTGCCCTTTCTTAAATCATCACAAAGAACAACAGTCATGAAAACCTTGGAGAAGCAATCATTGTGTGAAATTCCTAGGAGGGACAGCATTTTTAGGACCATGCAGCTTGGAAGGAAGCTCATGAAGTTTCTAGCCCAACCTCCTGCCCAAAGCAGGAGGCCAGCCAAGGCCAGCCAAGGCCAGCCTGGGATGCTCAAGACCTTGTCCTCTCAGGTCTTGGAAGCCTCCAGGGATGAAGCCTGTCCAACCTCACCAGCCTGCCTCCCTGCATTGGTTTTTCCTTCTATCCAGCTGGAAAGTCTCCTGGTTCAAGTGAGCCCCTCGTTTCACACCCTCCCACCATGCAGCACTGCAGAGCCTGGTTCCGTCTCTTGGATACTCTCCCCACAGGCCAGGGCAGGCTGCTATGACAGTCCCTGGAGATGTCCTTCATCCGGGCTGAACAAGCCCAGCTCCCTCAGGCATCTGCTCTGACCATCCTGGTGGCCTCTGCTTGGTCCTTTCCCGGTGTGTCATTGTCTAGCTGGAATTTCAGGGCTCAGACACAGAGGCACTATCTTGCAGCAGACTATGGAGTGAACAGAGGCAGATAACCTCTGCCTTTAATCATCTGGCTGTGTAATCTCCTTTTGGTGTGGTCCCAGAGCCTGCCCTGCTGCCAGGACCCACTGCTTGTCCCCAGCCACTCAGTCCCCATCTTCATTCTTAATAAGTTCATAAAGGAAAATTAATTATTCCATATGGTAAGCCCTTCCACAAAAGCCTCATAGAAGCACCAGTCAGATATAAATTGGCCATAGCCATTACAGTAATTTATGAGTATGTGGTTTCTTAATTAAAGGTGTTTAAATCCATACAAGTTTCCACTGGTTTGACAGACCTGCATTAGTAAGGTGATAGGTGACATGACCTCAGAGAGCTACACTTTTCATCTGTTAGGTACATTTGCAAAGCTAACTTGGAAACTTTAACTGAAAAAGTAAAATGGTTTACATACAAAAATATTCATCCTCCCCCTTTTTCCACCAGTATAGAATGGTAAATACTGTGTTATTATACCATTTTGTACAAAAGGTCATGAAGATTGAAAAAAGGATGTTGGAAGGAGAAAAATTATTTTCAGAACATCTAAGAATAGCTATTGAAAAAGAATCAGAATTTATAATATACCTTTACATATTAACAGTAAGAAACAGAATAATGCTACTAAATTAGACTGTAAACACCATGCAGAAGAAAAGCATTCTGCTTGTCCTCCAAGTTGTCATGAGTTTCCTTGATTCGTGCTTCAATCCTATCATTGATATTTTCGTTAGTTTTGCACAAAGAAACTCTTCAATAATGGGTCCCTAAAAAGTGATTAAAACCCTTTTTCCTTCATGATTATAATAAAAAAAATCTATTAATTTAAAATCCAAATTATGAGGTCTGACTCTCTTTTAAATACGTAAATTAAATTACCAAAAATTAGACTGCATGAAAGTTAGGAGGGAAGTGAAATTAAGTTAATTCAAGTCCTTTCACTATGCATTTCCACCCATTAAAATACCAATATTTGTTTAAGATGTAACTCTTCGCAGCATAAGGATGTTTTGGAGTAACAGCAGCATCACAGCAAGCACTTCCCTGCATTCCCTCCTGTAACTCTGTCAACTCAACCAACCCTGTTCTCACCCAGCCAGCCGAGACACTGGTGCCAGTCTGGTCACAGACATAAGGACAGCAATCCTGTCCAGCCACTGCCAAATTACCTCTCTGGAGAAAAATGTTAAGCCTTTGCTGAACTGTCCATTACTGCTGGAATATTGTAACAAACAAAACAAGTCAGGCCAACCTTTTCACAGGCTGCCAGCAACTGGGGACTGATAGAAGCACCATATTAGCTAGTGCTGCAGGTCATGAAAAAGGTACACTGGAAGAAAACCAGAAACTCTGTACTGTGCAATCACATAAATGCTACCTGCAGAATGCTATCACTTTTAGGAATCATGAGACATGAGCATGAGTTCTTCTAGGCTGAATAAGGAATTGAAACTAAATTCTCTCACACTTTGGGTAAATGACTTGACCAAATAGTGACCCTCTGCCTCCCATCTTCCTGCTCTCTTTCAAAGAAGACAAGTGATGGTCAGACAGGTGCCTGCCACTACAGCAACAGGCTCTACACTGTGGAACCCGTGGAGGCAGAGACACAGAAGCAAGATTCGCCATATCAGCTGGCAAAGGAGCTGTGCTCCTTTTGTACACTAGGACAAGAACCCTGACAAAACTCTTCCTAAATGGAGTCAGACACGGAAATACATACATTTGGTCAGATGAAACACACATAAACATACAAATCCCCAGTCAACTGTCTAACTTTAGAGCAGGGCAGGAATTTAAACACATGCCTCAAAACTGAGCAATAAGAAATGAAATACAGGTAGGTTTTTTTGTAACGTGTAAGGCCTTCTAGTCTGCTTTTTGAAGGCACCTAATTCTCTCCAAGGTTCATCAGAACCACAAACACCTAACATCATTGCTCAACTTCAAATCGGGTACTGTAGTGGCCACATTGAAAATTTTTAAATTTTTTCTTTTTTTTTTTTTAAGTCTTCACACCCCTTCTCACTGACTCTTTGCCTGGTTAAACACCATTTTCCCTATCAGTTCACAGGAAGTATTAGGCCACAGATGACGGTACAAGTTCTGCCTGTTACAGGTAAGAGCCATTATCAATATGGTAGAGTTAACTAACACACAGAGCAAGGTCCTTCAAACAAGGGAACAAACATGGTGGCTCTTCTAGTGGACCTTTTTGTAACTTAACTGAGGTTTATAGAAGATTACATGCTAGATCACACATCACTAGCCAACAACATTTGTGGTCAATTATTCTTATCAACTTATATGACATTAATTGTAGTAAAACGTTTAAAGCAATAACTTAAATAGCAGCCCTTGTGTCACCTTGGTTTGTTTGGAGGAAGCTGTCGACTTGGTCGTCTGATGGACTGGTTTGGCTGTACCTTCATGGAAGTTCTGGGAGAAGATCGAGCAAAGGGGTCTGGTGCTGGAGGCTTCTTGGGTATTTTTTTCACCAGTCGGCTCACCCATTTTTGCTGTTCTTCCGTAGAATTAGCTAACAGTAGTAGATTCTTTGCCGTAGAAATATCATAGTACACTGTAATAATAATTTTTAAAATAAAAATGAATAGTTATTATTCTAAAGACGTCCCAACATTAGTTGTCAGATTATGGTACTCTCAGAGTCAACACAGTGAAATCAAAAGAAAATTAACCAGATTTTGCCAAATTAAGTTTCCTGGCTGCTGGCAGTGCTTCTTCCTTATATTTAGAGAGTAACAATTTAGTACTATGGAAGAGTGTGTGCCTGAGCCCAAAAAATTATATAACATTGAGTCACAATACATAACCTTCACAAAATGTCATCTCTTCCGTAACACCCACTAACACAAAGAGCACAACACACAGTGTGAGCAGCCTTACAAGCACCCTGCTTTACTGCATGAGGCTGCCAACACAACAGGTACAGAGGTATCATGGTCACATGCCATTAACTCACAGCAGTGAGTGACCCTCACAGAGGCACCCTTGGAAAGGTGCTGATGGCTACGTATTAATAAAAGAAAAACTGACCTGTTTACATTTAGTTGGTGTCAGACCATTACTAGAATCCTCTGACCTATCAGAATGCCTTGTGACTCCAGCACTATATGCATATTCAAATACTTGCTATTTACCTTTGCAAGGCGCTATAATCTCTTCTTTTTTATCCATGTGATCTTTGTGACATTTGATGTGGCAGCGGCGACATTCCAGAGCAGGAGGAGGTTTAAACATATGCCACAGTGGCTTCATACAAGCTTCACAATTGGTTGGAAAGTGGTAAAGAGTAGGTATAAACTCATGTCCTTTGTGACAAATGTAATTTGACTTCTCTCCCATGGGCTCCACAGGAAATTCCTGTTCCTTTTTGCTCTCTCCTTCATTAGCATATAGAATCTAGAATCAAAGCAAAATAATCTCAGTACTCCTAGATGGCAAATGTAAATTCAGAGTAATTATCTAAGTAGAAAGATTGAAGAATTACAACAGAAGTGATTTTTCAATATTTTTTTAGTAAATATTTCATTAGACAATATTTTTGACAATGTGTGAAATACCATGTCTGTTACACTAGAAATATTAATTTATTAATGAATACCTGGAATATCCTTGGAATCTCCTTGGAATCTGCTCTGTACACATCAGTCTGAGTGACTGGTCGGACATGGAAGAGTTTGCTATAGGAAATTATTTCAGTAAGGACAAAAATGAATTACCAAAATAATAAATTTAAGTTGACAGATTAAGTTAGGATACACATTAAGACTCAGAGCCATTAAGACTCAGAGCCATTAAAGATTTGTCAGTACAAATTTCTCATCACTTGATCCAGTCCTATCTTTCAACCCCGCACATGAACTCCCAAAACCCTAAATAAAAAGAACTCACAAGAATCCAGCTATATTTGCAAAAAAAATAACAGCACTGATAAATAAAACCACCATCATGTGACTTTAATGATTGCTGGCAGCTTTCTAACATAATCCTCTCCCTGCGCTCCAACCTCTGAATACACAAATTCTGCATTTATTAAGAAAATTAATTAACTATACAATCCACCTGTAAGGACATGTTGTAAGAGAAAATATAGAACACTGAAAATTATAGCCTCTCTGCTACAGTTCTCTAATCATGTTTTGCTCCCATGTGTATGTGAGGAAGATCTAGCTGAGCTCGTGGGAGCAGTTCAGTTACATCAGGCTCAGTGGAGTTCCCTGGATCAGTCTGAGCACCATGCTGCTGCTGCTGCTGCACCAGCAAACCCAACTCTTTCCCACAGTGGGCACCCTAAGGGCCCAGCTCTGTAGTTCAAATTAAAAAAAAAAACAAACGCCCCATGTGATGTTGTGATCCCAGACTGGACCTCAAAAGGCCTTTGGTCACAATCATTTCAACAAAATTCAGCTGCAAATCAGAAGAAGGAATCACACATGGCAGTACTTACTCTATATCCAATACCATATAGGGATTAGATTGTTCTTTATCTTGTTCGCTGTCATAGAACAGGATCTTCTTACTGCTTACAATTACATACTGTTAGGAGACAGAAAATGATAAAATACATGTTTTAATCCAGCTCATCACAGAGGTCAGAGATGTCACAGCAATTACCACAGATGTTGCATTGATATTTCTCTATGATTTTATTAAATGGTACCTAAATAAACAATAACAGTACTGTATGCTAAGTCCATGATTTGCCAAGAAATTCACTGCACAACAAACGAAATCCTGATTACTGGATAAATCAATATATGTTATCAGACTAATTGATACCTAAACAGATTTAAGTATCTGTGAAGAGACAAATCTAAAGTCTGAAAGAAAGTAAGATAAAAGCTTTTCCTTTCTATTTTATTGATTTAATTTTTACTTGAACTGGTAGAGTCAGTGTCATCTTATGATGACTGTGTGCAGGTCACAACTAATAGAGATCATACCTATAAAGATCACTATTATACTTACCAGAACAGCCAGCAATATTCATTAAAAACCTAATTACCTAGAAGATGCCCTATTTCTAGGATTTTGGTTAGAATTAACAGTATGACTGAGCAGTAAGCAAACTGGTATGAAAATGTGTATATTACATTTTGGACAAAGACCTATCAAAGACGTTACTGAGAAGCAGTAAACAAGTGAAGGCTGCACAAGGCAGATAAGTAGTTGCTAGTTTTATCTCCTAAATAAAGAAATTGTCAAAGGCATCTGCTTCCAGACTCTGCTGAATTTCAGCTATGAAATACTGTTGAGAATGCTTACAGCTGCATGTATAAACGTTTGAAGACCATGAATGATTGTTCTGACCTCTGGCTGGACAAAGAAGTGTCTTAACATATTAAAATTGTCCTAAGCTGCTCCCCTCAGAGGTAGCTATCCCAGCTAACATATTTTATACATTTAAGTAATGAGAGAACACATATAAAATAAAAATTGAAGTGTTGAAAATCTGCATTCAAATTAAAATCCAGACTACGCATGAAACAAGACCAGAAATCTGGGTTTCTTACCTTTTTAACCCATCCAAATTTTTTAGTATTATTTCTAACAGGCAGTGATAGCCAGCCTTCCAATCTTGATTCTGAAATAGATATATATATTAAAGAACGTAAATATTCACAAAACATCATTTTTGAGACTACTGTGCATTTTAAAATAGTTATCAAAGATCAATAATAAAGCAACAGAGCAAACATAAGACCTATTTAACAGTACAAGGTCTTGCAAAGTTTAGCACAGTAAATGTTTAGGAATACATTAAATAACCTTTAATTAATACAGCCAATAACCAGCAATGCAATCACAAAAAAGTAGTAAGCACGAGGAGGAAGGGAAAGAGCAAACTTGCAATTGTAGCACACACATTCCCTTTAGTAATTTTTTCAAGTCGTAAAAGCCTTACGTCTATCAACCTTTACCTTTTACAACAGCATCTAAAGGTATTAGTACAGACCACACAACATCCAGTTCAAGACAAAAAAAGCCAAATTACCACCACAAATAACCCATATGCCAGGGAAAATGTCAGTTTAGTATTCTAAGTCATACTTTTTGGTCTGAAAATTTTTCTTTTCTCTAATTCTGCCTGTATCTCCTAGGCTTTCTAATCCAAAATAAGTAATTTTTGGTTAATCCTTAGGCCTTGCCTGAATTCAACTGCCCTTTCACACACTTGCAATATTTTATATTACACTGGCACATTAGTCAGATTTGATTTATCAACAGTATTAAGTGCTCAGCTGTTGTTTGACACACACATTTACAGTAGTAACTATAGTACTGACACAACCAAAAGCTCACCAGATCACACTTTCTCAGTGGTGGGTGATACACAGGATCATATAGCCTTTGACCCTATTTTTATAGCTGCAGTTAACACAAGCACTTCTTTCCCTTCTGTTTTATTAGGAGCAACTACTCAGTTGGAATAATATTTTTCCAAAGAGTTTTCTACCCTAGCAGATAACCTGTACTGCTGCTGAGGAATCTCCAAGTCAAAAATAATGAAGCCTTAGGCATTAACAAACACAAAACCATGGAAGGAGCAAAAACATGCTCCAAAATTGCAAATGTTATTTTCTTTCTCATGGGAGGGCATTTGCAGGTTCCTGCCCATGTTTAATGTAGCATAACAAATAGTTATTAGATATTCATAGAATTGTTATTGTGCCTAGAGAGACTTGAAGCAAGGTTATGTATTCAGATACACAGTCTTCAACATTTATTGCTCTACCAGCATTGCTGTTGATAACCCATTTTAATGTATATACTGAGTACATGATGCAGTTCTATAAAATGTATTTTGCCTCATACCTGCCACTTACATTGTTCCTTTCAACTACACCTGATACAAAATGTAGCAAGCATAATGCTGATGAAAAAAAAATCCTACCCCACATCCAGGAAGCATGTGGAGGGCAAAAAGTATGCATGCTTTTCTTATTTCCTAAAATATAATGTTTTTCCTATTTCTCTCTGTAATCTCTAATATCATTGCACGAAATTGGACAAAATGAGTTTCTGATTATAATTCTTCAATGATTACAGATCAGAGAAAGGACAGAATATTCAAAAATTTTCACAGCACATGCTTATAAAGCAATAGGAGGGAAAGAAACAACAAAACACAACGATCATACCTCATAATCAACGATCATAATTACAACGACCTGTTGTAATTATGTCAGCAAGAATTCCTAGCTTAGATATGATTTCTACTTTAGAACAAAAGAAATCCATGCACAAATCACGACAGCAGCTAACAAGAAAAAAATTATGTATGTACATAACTTTTCTTTCATTAGAAGCCTCATAGTAAAAAACAGAGAATGAGGAAAATAGAGAAAAATACATTAGTCTTTACTCTAGTTTGATGAAGTAATGTCGATATCCTAAAAGAAGTTTTGCCTTCAGTGGAAAGGTATTCACACTTTAAAGGAACCTCAAGTGACATACAGGAATTTGAATGCAACTAAAAAACCCACCTATGATATTAACAGTAAACAGAAGCTTTGTTCGAAAGAATGTAGGTGCAGTCATATAAAATGAACATAGAATTAGTAGAACAGAGTTCTGTTTTACTGGAGTCTTATCATTCATTATATACTTTATGTATCTGGGAAAATTAACAAATCTTGCTTGCCTTACCACAAAAGAATCAAATATAAGATTTAAATTAAGGCAAAATAATGTAATACTCAGAAGACTGAATTTCTACAAGAAGATCAAAATGTTTAGATGTGAGGAGTCAGATGTTTCCATACTTCACTTTAACACAGATTTGACTTTTTGGTATCCAGTACCTTAGGGCCATACAGATAGCTGCAGACACTGGAGAGATGCTACCTTGAAAACAAGGCCATAAGGCTCATTTATTCAATGCTTTAATAAAAATGGTAGTTTAAGACATGGCAGCAAGTATTTGCTAACGTTTAGAGAAAACAAGCCATTTATTCGTTTATGCAAACTTTCTTGTGTCTTTGATGGCAATGTTTACTGTCAGTTTAGTGTGTTAACTGCCAGATTTATGTTTCTTTGTTTTAATAATGCATTAAGAGTGTTAGTTTTGAAACAGACAAAAGGACACAGTAAGAACAAAGCCAAACACTTCTCAGGCATGTCACCTGTGCTATCAACTTCTGTAGGACTGTGTGAACAAGACAAAGGTTCTTCCTCTGAGTCAGAATCAGAATCAAGAAGCATGCGAGAACTGGAAGGCTTAGTGGCAATACTGACAGAGGTGGAAGAGTGCTGATAGGTAAAGGACATGGATTCCATAGTGTGGGATTGAGTGATACGGACTAAACATAAAGCATAAAGGAGGAAAAGTAGAAAAGAAGTCAAAACAGAATCTCTATGAAGAGAGTATTAGTTTTATATTTCATCAAATAAACACAGTAACTGCAAAGGAACCACCACAAGTGAAAAAAATATTCAGCTCTAATGGTGTGCAATAGAATTTTTAAAAATAAATTTCAAGATGAAGTATGATTACAGACAGATTTAGTTAGTAGGTGGATAGTGATCCCTATCAAAGGATTGATAAGATGGTATAAAATAGATGAAGATGAAAAGTCACAGAATCATCGGATCATCAGTTTCCATGGTAAAACATTGATATAAACAATGCATTGATATAAACAGTGCAGAAATATCATTAAGATTAACATACCAGGGAATCCATCATCTGCCTCAGCATCTCCAGGCCCGCTGCCAATGCTGCTGTTGTCCAGCCCAATGTGCAGGGACTGCAGCTGGGAACGAAGCTGTTCGATGTCGCTGTCCTTGCTGTCCAGAGTCATCTGCAGTTCAATCCGGATCTGACTCTCTTCTGCAATTTGCTGTAGGGATAAATTACAAGATTTCCTGTTATCCCAATATTTGGTTACTCAGATAAAATGTAAGTAGAAAATCACGCAGAATTTGTAGCCAATTGTACAATATTACAGAAAATGCTGCAATGTTTATATTTGCAAAAGGATCTTACTGCCTGCATTTCATTTATTTCCTTCTGATATTTGATCATCATTTGGGTTAACTTTTCTCGTTCAGACTTCAGTTCCATATGCAGCTTCCTATTTTCCTTTTCCTTCCGCCGTACATCAGTGTCAGATCCACGTTTGACTGGCCCCTTCCGATTCATGATCTCGGCCAATTTATTCACAGCCTTTCCATGGTAAAGAAAAAAGAGACAAAAACCACACTAATAAATACACAGAGCTACATTGTGAAGAAATAAAGTCTTCTGTCTACAACCAGGCACTTCTAACTGTAAACTAACACCTCTGTAATCCAGTAACATAAACTTGCTTTAATTCCACATATTACTTATAACTGAAAAGAAGGTAATGATGCCACGTTTACTTTAAGAAAGCATTAGCTGTGAACACTTCCACTCATCTCATTTAAATAATTCCCTCCATTTTCACTAGTTAGACCCAATATATATATTTGCATTAAAATGCCACTTGTTCTAAAAAACAATCTGGATTAAAATCAGAGATATACTTCTTTATAGAACTTATAGAGGAATCAAGACTGAAACCAGTAAAATATCAAATAATTTGAGAGAAATGAAGACTTTTGCTGGTGGAATGCATCTGGATTAGAATTTCCTCTATGATGAATCACAAGGATCCAGTTTTACTACAATGAAAGTCTACTTAGTAGAAGAGAGAAAAAAACCGTTTTTTTTTTTTCAGGGCACAACCGAATAAAGCATTAATGGTACATATAAATAGTTTACCATGGAAAGTTTTCTATTATAAATTATTTAATTCATGAACACTATCTCTACATTCATTTAAACACATTTGCTTACCTGGGTTTTTAATGTTCTTTCAGTCAACAACTGTTTCTCAAATTGTGCTTTAATATTTCCTATATTTGCTTCTTCTTCTTTTAGTTTTGTAATTTCTGTAGCAAGGTAATTGAAAAAATTCTATGAAAAGTCATTACAAAAGAAAACAGTACTACTAAAGAATAAAACTGGTTTCAAATTAAAGTACATTTGGTTCACAGAATACATACGTTCTTGTACTTCCTTCAGTTTATTGTTTAGTTCTTCTTTCTCATTAGCAAGATTAGCCACATCACTGGTTAGTGTCCTATTTGCTTCCTCCAACTAGAAAAAGAAAAGAGGGGTAGGGGCACAGAAGAATGAATGGTCAGAAAGATGCATGAAGAAACATGACAAGATTTTTGAATTTCAATCGTAAAAAATAAATATTTCAAAAATGTTAGATATATCTCTTGTATATCTCTGAGTATACTAAATAACAATGGATAACTCAAACTGCAAATAAAACTCAAGCTCTACAACCTCTACCAAAATTACAAATCATACAACTCACCGAAGCTATGGTGGCATCTTTCTCAGTAAGTTCCTGTTTATGCCTTGCCATCATCTCTTTAATCTCCAGCTCTTTCATAATCTTCTCTTTTTCCAAATCAGAGTACTGCTCTTCAGCAATGGAACGGGCAAGTTGTTCTGAATCTGCTTTCGTCAAAGTAATCTCTAGCTGAGCAGCCAAGGAATCTCTGCAAATTATTGATATATATTTTTAACTTTAAATTGAGTAATGTAGGGGTGGGGGCAAGGGCAGGGAAGAAAACAACAAATAGCCATCCTAATCTTTTATGTATTAGCAGTACAACTAGCAAAACCTACCTCTCATCCTGTAACTCTTGTATCTTTTGCTGCATTTCTTTACAAATTTTGGTCTTTTCCTCACATTCTTCTTTAAGTTCTCGAACTTGCGTCTTATACAAAGTCTAGAATTTAAAGTTAGCAAGAAACTTATGTGATTTTCTGTATTCTTGAAAGTCCACAAAAATTATACAAGATGACATTGTATGCAATTTTTTAATCACACACTCTAATTAGAGTGTAACTGTGCAATATCTTCTCTAAACTTATCTAAATGTCATCATTCACAAATGTGTTTTGGTTATTTTACTTTTTGTTGTTCTTTTTTTAACTTGTATATTTGTGAACGGGTAGATGTATGATATACATTTTCTATGTTTGTAAACATACTGTTAAAGATACTCTAAATGTGAAAATCATTATTTGACAGAAAATTGGAAGTATCACAAGCAAGGAAAATGAACTGATTTTTCTCTACTATTTTAAATCTTTGTCTGACGTAATTAAGTACGTGCTGTTTAGATTCTAATCATACAAATCCGTGAAACCCATGTGACAGTTAAAGAACAAAAAGAAATATAGGAGGAAGGGAAAAATAGATTAGAAAATAATTTGAAATTCAAAATTTCGTGCAATTGATACAAATCTAGAGCTCTAAAAAAATGAAAGACACATTATATTGCTCTGTCCACTCAAACGACTGAATACAGGTCCAGTGACAGACAGCTGTAAGTGGACTTACCACAAAGATTTCAACACAGATTGTCTCTCTCTGGCCCATCTACAAAATTCTCCCTTTCTCTCCTTTAATGTGTGCAATGTTTTCATCTACTAAAACTTTAGACAGTCCTTCTCCTCACTGACCTGAATACCACAATGAAATTTTTAGTTTCCTTTAATTCTGAAACAAGCCTTTTGGCATCTCCCGCAGTGCAACTGGCTATGCACTGTTAATAAAAATTAACCTCCACAAGCTAGTGATGATTTTTAAGTTCAATATCTATTTATTCTGTTGCATGTTACCACTCCTAAGAGACCTCTACCAAGTTTGGCTGTAATGCAAAAATTTCCTTCCAAGCCTTAATGTCATGTTTTGTCACACCACGTGAGAATACAACTCTTCTCTACCATGCAGCATGGAAGAGATACTGAATGCAAAAGGCTGGAAACATGCAGAAAATTATTCATGCTGTGGAAAAGTGAGCTGCTTGCCCCCTTCCTCCCTCTGAACTCCCTTACAAACCTGGGACATTTTTTAACCTGAGCTCTTTTATACGCTCAGTGATCAAGATCAAGGCTGCAGACAATACTGAAGACAGGCACAAGAAAAACAAGTAGCTTTGGGTTAGAGATGTGAAACAGCTGATGGCTAAGGAGGAAGAAGAAAAGATAACATTTACTCAGTAAAGAGATTAGTAAAAAAATAAAGCAGCACAAAACATACCGAGAAATACTGTTCAGCTTCGAGTTGGTCTTGAAGCTCTTTCATTTGTCCATCTGCATCTTGACGTTCCCTAGAAAGGAATAACATGCTTTAAAGATATGAAGACATTCCCGACCAGTAAATTAAAAAAGACGGCATTCATACTCTTGAGATCTTCAGTGATTTCCTGACCAAAGTATGGTCAGCAATTAAACCTGAATCTTCCTCTGGGCTCCAGATCTCTTTTTCAGTTGTATAGCTGAGCCCACTACACTAATAACATGTCAGTTTAATATTGTTAACATGTTAACTACAACAGTGTCACACAGTTTAACCAGTAAGAGACACCAATAAAGTAAACAGCCACCAACAGAATCTTATTTCCATGTAAAACATCTCTGATCTGACCGGTTGTTTTGGCCTCTTGTTTGCAAGAGCAGAGTCTGTGAAAACATGTCTGTATTCCTTGACACAGATAATTGCTTGAATTCATCTGTTATTAAAACAACAGTCAGTCCCATAACAAAAGAAATGTAGCAGAAAAGACTTCTGCCAGTGTTTCACATCGTGGTCAACTTCTATGTGACTAACTGCATCTTGCTGACAGAAAAGGCAAAGCACCAGGAGATAAACCATCAGAAGTCATAAAGGAGCTGAGATTCATCTGATATGTGTGCTAAACTTTTATTTTCATTCACAAGAAAGTTCTTTATGTAAAAAAAGTATTATTTACTTATTTATTATCAGGTGCAAATACTACTTGTAAGACCTTGAAGAACTGTTGGGATGTAACACAACTCCTAAATGAAGGTCCAACAGATGTGTTTAAACATCTGTAGCATTAGATATTTCCAATAGTTATGCCTTCCAGCAGTTATGCTTTCCAGCTCTGTAGCAGTATTCATTTCCGACTCTGATAAGCTCTCCTAGACTAATAATTCCAGTAACTTTCCTCTTCACTGAAGAGGAAATCATCATTAAAGAGAAAATATCTAGACTTTCAGTTAAATAAGTGTTTCTCTTAAGTCCTCAAACTCATGTTTACGCTGAGTTTTTTAAGGTTTTCAGGATAACAAAACACCTTTGAATACAAACCCATACAGTGCTGAATCACTAGGGCAAGTCTCAACTAGTCACTGTAAATTATTTTAAAGAACCTTAAAGTTTAGCACTGTAGAATAGCATATTCTTTGCAGCAAATTTTTTCAATTAATATTGCCCTCAACTTCTGTCATAAAAATATTACAAATCAGTCACATGACTAAAAATATGGAGCAACTTGCATACTTGCGGAGTTCATTGTTTTGTTTTTCCAGACTTAATTTGATTTCCTGAAGATGGTTATTCTCCTGTTTTAACTGCTTCTCTGACATTTTCAAGGTGTTGACCTGCTGCGTTTGCATCTTGAGGTCATTTTGAGTGAGACAGCGCTTTTGTGTTTCTTGCTCTATTTTTAATGTCAAGTTTTTTACCTGAAAAAGATACAAACTCCTGTTAATTTTACAGACCTATACAGGAAAGCAACATTTAAACAGTCTGTTATTGGCTTCCTCTACATTTCTGTACAACATGTACTCACATCTCTTGGTAAATCGAAGCTGCTTCCTGAATAAAGGCATTAGCACACATTAAATTAGCTAGTTTTTCCATGTCAATCTCACAGAATTTTAAATGCCAGAATGAAAAACTTTTTAAGATGAGTAACGCTGAAATATTTCTGAAAAATGACACTAGACTCCATGAAGTAGACATTTAAAGCTCCAAAGACAGAGAAGGAAAACTGCTGCCATTTTAACTCACAAACATTACTAAATATAGCTATAACAGGAAAAGTATTAGAACATTGAAAATGAGGTTTGACTCAAGATGCTTTTTGTCAGTGTTCCTTACATCTTCATTTAGTATATCCTTTTGCATAAGGAGCTCATTGATTTTCTGTTGTGATTGTTTGAGATCACAGTCCAACATGGAGCGCTGCTTTTCAGCTTCCAACAACCGATTTTCTACTTTTTGCTTTAAAGCTCTCTCTTCCAAAAGTTTCTTCTCCATTTCTGTGAAGTAAAAAAATTTAAGACATCAGTCAGTGTAAACCAGCATATTTTGGAGGCCAAAGGGAGGAGGATGTTTAACAAAAAGCCACATGTTTCTCCTTTTAAAACTGAAGAGGAAGACTGCTGAAAAGTGATTAATTAAAATTTTCATAGTAAAATCACGCCCAGAGGATGCTTTTGCAAGCATTCCTGGCAGAGCTATTTCCTACTTTTGAGTTTCTAGATAACTTCCAGTTTACCTGCAACACTTTTGAGATGAACAAAAAGGGTGGAATTTTAAAAATAAACCATCTAAATCTACTAAATTGTTGCGCTATGATAATATAAAACCAATTGAAGAGCTGAAGCTGTTGTGGAATCTGATATGCCAAGTGACTCGGTCATTATTACTGAATCATTTTTGCTTCTTTTGAAGATTTGCATGCTCAAAATTCTTGAGAATGCTCTGCAATTGAAAGGAGAGGCTCTATAGGCAGCTTTTTAATTAGCACAATAAACATAAGCCATTTCATTAAAAAGTAAGAGCCATCTTCTGGAATTTTTTGGTAACTATCCCTCTCTTCAAGATATTTCGGTTTTCTTGAGATGCACCAGAATATGCACAGTAAAAGTTTATATTACCTACTTTGTATAATTCACTCCTAAGTCCAACTGTGTCAAATACCTACCTTTCATGGCTTCAGATTTTGCTTCCTCTATAGATTCATAGATCTTGTTTTTGTCTGCTAATCGTGCTTTTGTGGCTTTATGTTCAGCTTCTTCTTGCTCAAGGTTCTGCTGCATAACTTTAAATTTATATGTCATATCTATTTCCATGTTGCTCTTTTCCTGTTAGAGAAAAAATAATATTGAAATAAAACATAAAATACATCAGGTTAGAGGCAAAATTTTGGATGACAATAACATGCTGCTTGGAAAGATGCAAAAAGTAGAAGAGAGAGTTCAGACTAAGGGGCTAACTGAGAACTTATTTCTAAAATGTTTCTTTGTGGATGGCAAAGTGCTCTAAAATGTACAACAACATCCCCAGGGGCAAACAATTACAGAATTACTGCCTTAACAACAACGTCCTGTAATAGGCTCAAAGATTAGGTTTATTGAAGAAATTTTTCAAGACTTTTGTTTCAATGACAAATTTGTTCAATATTAGCAGAAGCTCTTTGATTTTTGGCAACAAGGAGATTCTAAAAAAACTCAACACATGAAATTAAATGTTACTACTGCACTGTTAAGCTACACACCAGAGTACATTATTATGTACTTTAGAAGTATAATGTCTTACGATCGTATGGGAAATTATGTCTTTTTCCCCCTCACTTTTCAAATTGCAAAAACAATTAAAAAAAAAATGCTGAAAACAAGGTTTACTCAGCATCTCAAATAATAAAAGTACAAATTCAAAAATTCCATAAGAATGTGACAGCAATGTTCACTTAGAAGTGCTGTTACCTTTTCTAAATCTGTGAGCTTTTCCTGCAATTGTCTTTTCTCCATTTCCAGTTTGGCTAATGCACTCTTTCCACTTTTCACTTCTTCTTCAAGGCTAGATATTCGACCTAAAAATAACCAAGACATCAATGAGACTGGGCAGTGTGTGAAAACGAGACTGTACTTTATCTATTTAGAGATAACATTTTTCAAATGTTACAGCTTCTAATTCCGACTGTTAAGAATATCTCCCGCTGGGGTGATTTTAAAAGTTATCAATAATGTTTTATAAATGTTATCACACATCTTCTCTCAAATGTGTGTTCAAAACTGCATAACATTTTAGAGGACAGCACACTTATCTAGTCAGTCTGAAGCTCAAATAACACCACCCAAACCTATTTTTATTTTGGAAACAAGAAGCAATCTTAACATCAGAACATTTGCAGGAATACCTTGTAAATCACTGATAATCTCTGATCCATGACTTCGATCTCTCCTTTCTGATTCTAGAGCTGACTGAAGATTGAGATACTCCTTCTCCAGTTTGAGTTTTGCATTCTCTAGCAGGCAGTTCTTATCTTGTAGTTCTCTATTATTAGTTTCCAGCTGCTGGATTTGCTTTGTGCTTTCTGTCTGGTTCTTCCTTAACCTGGCTGCAGTATCAGACTCTGACCGCAGCAAAGAATTGGCTTCATCCAACTAAGATTGATAAATACATACTTCAGAAACAATTAAAATATAAAAACTACTATTTCTACTACAGCATACTAGGTTTTAGGGATTAAAGAAGTAAAAAGGAGTATACTTTAAGATTACTTTTGAACACCAGAACATAACAAAAAAATCTTTAGATTTCAAATCCCTCCACTAATCCCAAAATCTGTACTTCAAACAGTTATTATTTTAAAATATACATATATAAAGTTGGCATACCTGTCTTTGTAGTTGATTGATTTTCTCATTAGATATTTGAGAGTTCTGATTCCTCTTTTTTAAATCTTCAAGCTGGTCTTTCAAACTGTTAACTATAAAAAAACCCCAATTCAACATTGTTAATCACTGTCATGAAAACACTTCAATTGGGACTATAATTCATTTATTTTAACTTTTAAAAACCCACATCAAAATGGAACCCTTCAAGCATGGTTCAACATACCCTCATTTTCCAAATTGCGTTTCTTATCTGCTTCATGTTCTGCTTTTCTCTGGTATTCTGTATTCTTATGCTGAAGAAGAGCCTTCTCTCTCTCTAACTGCCTGACTGCAGACTCTACATTCTTCCTTGAAGTTATCTGGATATATTTAAAAAAAATACACCACTAATTACATACACAAGAGTGGTATTCTTATATGATAAAAACACAGCTCACACACTCAGTTTAGCCTGTAATGGAGAAAGCCAGTTTATTTGCCTGCTGCAAACACAGCGTATCAGAACACGTGATCAAATCTGGCCCAGGATGACTATGGCCAGGAGCTCTGCTATTTAAATACTGTTTGATCATTTGGATTTGACAGACCTGGTAGACCTGCCTAAGCAGTCACTCTGGGAGCACAGAAACACATGTGTAATGTAAGGCCTTGACATGCACCTGGATGAGCAATACATTAAGTTGCACACATCCACGTCCAAGTTTGTAGAAGCACTAAGGTGCAAAGCTGGGCAAGAAATAGGGTCCTTTTACTAACACTGAACAATGCAAAGCATAGCCTTCCTCCTGTAGAAACACTACTCTCACACCTTCGATTTTTAAAATCTATAGGGGATATTTATATCATGCTGTTCTCCAGCTTAAAAACACAGTAAAAAACAAGTTATCAAAGAAATGTGTCTATAGTACAGAAATCATAATGAAAATATTTTAGCAGTGACCAACAATTTCATGCTTGTGAATACTAAGAAATCAACTAGTGTGACTTGCTATAAATACACAGCTACTCAAAAGTAATCTGCTGTTACCGAAGGAAAAAGCCGCCACACACAAATGTTAAAGTTCTAATTCCAGTCAGAAATATCTGTGGACTTACCTCTTCATCAAGCTCTTTCAGTATCTTCTCTAAACGAGTACTTGTAGACCTGAACAAATTTGAAAAATACTTTTAAATCCTGCTGATAATACTAAAATTAGAGTGATTGAATGTGTCTCATTAATTAGATATTCTATTTTCAGCAGTAACATGAAACCTCAGGGACAAGTGAAATCACTCTAATAACAGAGAGATTCTTCTAGAGAGGTAAGGCAAAAAAACCCAACAAAACCACCCCAGTAGTCACAGGAGCAGCAAGAATAGGCCGGCAAGTTACAGTGAGATCTGCTCACAGGGTTGGGAATCCCCAAGGTGAATTAAAATGCTTTTAAGTATCCAAAACCAGAAGGTTTAATAAAACTACTCTATAAACATACCAAACATGTCAAAACAGTCTCACCTGTACTTCTGTTCTAGTTCATCTTTGGCTTGCAATTCATTACTGAGCTGTTCTTCTAGCTTGCTTAGTTTTTTCTGAAACTGTGTAAAATATCAAAAAAGTATGGCCCACATATAAAAATGTTACCACATAAAACAAATGTAATTCAATTAAATAACAAAATAAGGGAAAGCAAGGAAAATTAATTCAATCTTCCACTATATTATTTTAAAACCATCACTAGAAGGCATTAATTCAGATGATTTAAAAGATACAGATCCATAGCAACAAAATTTGCTGCATGCTGCATTAAATCAAACCATCACAGAATTATGTGCCACAGATTGTGAGTCATAAAATTTATATGGGGAAAGAATATTGTTACCGGCCCTTTGCTGTTCTCTGTAGCCAGAGACTGTCCACTGCAGCAGATTTTTTGGGATAGCCTTTTCTAAATGAAATGAAAAAATAAGAAGGGGGGGCACATGACCAAAGTGGACAATATTCAGATGACTAAACATGTTCAGTGACCTTACCTGAAGAAGAATTTCTTAGTCTTACTCCTTTGGAATCTAATGAACACTTTTCAGGTTTGGAAATGCTTTGTTTTCTCAGAATCAACTGGGTTGGAAGAGACCTCTGAGATCACTGAGTACAACCTATGACCTAACACCACCATGTCAACTAGACCATGGCACTAACTGCAACATCCAGTCCTTCCTAAACACCTCTAGGGACAGTGACTCCACCACCTCCTGGGCAGCCCATTCCAATGCTCATTCACTCCTTCTGTGAAAAAACTCCTCCTAATGTCTAACCTAAACCTCCCCTTATGGAGCAGCATAAGACTGTGTCCTCTTGTCCTATTTCTGGTTGCCAATCCCCAACTGTCTACAATCTCCTTTCAGGAAGTTGTAGAGAGAGATGAGGTCTCCCCTGAGCCTCCTCTTCTCCAGGTTGAATGACTCCAGCTTCCTCAGCCTCTCCTCACAGGAGTTGTGCTCCAGACCCTTCACCAGCCTTGTTGCTCTTCTCTGGACCTGCTCCAGCACCTCAATATCCTTCCTGAAATGAGAGGCCCAGAACTGGACACAGTACTTGATGTGCGGCCTAACTAGTGCCAAGTACGAGGGAAGAATCACTTCCCTAGTCCTGCTGGACACACTGTTCCTAATACAGGCCACGATGCCACTGGCCTTCTTGGCCACCTGGGCACACTGCTGGCTCACGTTCAGCCACTGTCAACCAACACCCCACCCGGTCCCTTTCTGTCTGGCTGCTCTCCAGCCACTCTGTGCCCACCCTGTAGTGCTGCAGGGGGTTGTTGTGGCCAAAGTGGAGGACCTGGCACTTGGCACTTGTTGAACCCCATACCATTGCATTCAGCCCTTCTATGCAGCCTGTGCAGGTCCCTCTGCAGAGCCCTTCTACTCTCCAGCAGATCGACCTTCCTCTCCATCTTAGTGTCATCTGCAAATCTGGCTAATGGTAGACTCGATCCCCTCATCCAGATCATCAATAAAGATATTAAATAGAACTGGGCCCAACACTGATCCCTAGGGGACACCACTAGTGACCAGACACCATCTGGATGTAGCACCATTCAAGACCACTTTCTGGGCCCAGCCCTCCAGTCAATTCTTAACCCAGCAGAGAGTGCCTCTGTCCAAGCTGTGGGCTGCCAGCTTTTTCAGGAGTATGCTATGGGAGATGGTGTCAAAGGCTTTGCTGAAGTCCAGGTAGACTACATGCACAGCCTTCCCCTCATCCACCAGGCAGATCACTTGGTCATGAAAAGGAGATCAGGTTGGTCAGGTAGGACCTGCCCCACCTAAACCCGTGCTGGCTGGGTCTTAACCCCCCGGCCATCCTGTAGGTGCTGTGTGATCACACTCAAGATGATTGTTCCATAACCTTGCTGGGCACTGATCCCAAGCTGACAGGCCTGCAGTTTCCCAGATCCTCCTTCCAGCCCTTCTTATGGATGGGCGTCACACTGGCCACCTTCCAGTTTTCTGGAACTTCCCCAGTGAGCCAGGACTGTTGATAAATGATGGAGAGCAGTTTGGCAAGCTCTTCCACTAGCTCCCTCATCAACCTAGGATGGATCCCATCTGGTCCCATAGACTTGTGAAGATCCAAGTGACTCAGCAGGTCACTGCTTCCTCCTGGACTACAGGGGGACTATTTGGCTCCTTGTCCCTGCCTACCTGCTCAGGAGGCCAGCTGTCCTAAGGACAACCTGTCTTATTGTTGAAAACTGAAGCAAAGAAGGTGTTAAGTACCTCAGCCTTTTCTGCATCCTTGGTAACTATGTTCTCCCCCAGGTCCAGTAAAGAATGTAGGTTTTCTTTGCCCCTCCTTTTGCTATTAATGTATTTATAAAAACACTTTTTATTATCCTTACTTTAGTTTTGCTTAATAAAATATTTTTTAAAAAATGTGAGTCCAGTACCCAAATATTCATGAAATAAATTATAAATAATAAATTTTGGATTAATCTCATGACTTCCGGCTTTCACATGCATTTATTTTCCTCCCTTCCCCCTCTTCCTCTACCCTCCAAACATGAAATGTAAAAACGTGGTTTTCTAAAACACTTTACAGTTATTACAGTTAGAGGATTCCCAGAACAGGGACACTGAAAAAGACATCAAAACTGGAGATTCATCACTTGAGAAAATACAAATAAAAAAGTTGTCAGAAGTCAAATGCAGAATGTTACCATCTGCATTTACTATCACAACATAAAGCAAATGTCACGAATGTGACAATATGTATTTTGAACAGCAGGACCATTTCTTTTTAAAAGGGAAGTTCTAAAACTATTCATCTATTCAGCAGTGACAGGAAGGAAGTGGAGTGTAATAAACATTTGCATTTAAATTTAGCTGATCAATACAAAATGCATTTCCTTTATTTATTTTTTAAACTTTGAAAAGGAACTGTAAGTTTTAAGAAATGTTAACAATATACTATCTACACTTGAATAATACAAATGTTTAAGTAACATAATGAAATAAGTACATGAAAATTCTATAACATTTTCCTGTCATATGCATATTTAAATTCAATTGTCAATCTTCAAAAGCTGGATAAACATGCTCCATACACTCCAACTGGAGTATGATTTAAACATTCCTTTATCACTGCAGGTGACAATTTATTTTTCCAAACTCTGAATAAATCAGTCATGAATCGCTCAGGCAACTGTGGAATCTTCCCAGAGTGATGCTGTCTGTAGCAAACAGAGCTTTAGGCATTGGATTTCCAAAAAATTCTAGATGCCAAAAGAATTTGAGAAAAACCTGTATTCATTCCCCTGTATACTACAGTACCTTAACACTTGAGTACAACTGTTTCAAAATACAACTGGTTTACTGCTAACAATTTGGTGAATAAACATTTAAGATACATCACATCCACATAAAATTATGTAGGAATTTTTCTATTCTTTTCATAATTCAAATAATATACTTACCTCCTTGCTGTCCTGTAAATAGAAAATATCATTTTTATTGAGGATCACTAAAAGATAAAAAGCCCCCCCACAAAACTGCTTGAAAACTTATTTTAGGCTTTGTCTTTTCTTAACAGACTTAACAAAATTAGTTAAGCATACCGTTAATACTGAAGAAGAAAGGCACTAACCTCATTTTTACTAGATTGCACAGATTCATTTTCTCTGCAAGACTGAGAGGAGTCACTTAGCAACCTGTCAAAAACAAAAACAAATCCCTCCAGCTCTTATTCAAGTTTCCAACAACTCTGGCAATCTTGCCATTTTAATCAATTCTCTCAAGCCTTAATTTGTCCTATGCTCCTCTCAGAATGAAGCTTGTTTTATTTCAGTCTTAGTGCATCTTTGTGATTTGAATCTTTCCTTAACTGAAGTATAGCATGTTTCCAAATCCACAGCAGCTTATGATCTTTTAATTAATACAATTACTTTTTAATTATTCAAGTTTAATTCTAGAAAGTTATCTTGTGTAAACTTTTTTCTAAAATAACTAATAAAAAGCCTTTTTAGAAGTAAATTACAAATCTATCAGTATTTTAACCCTAAACAATTTTTTAAGATATTGTATAATTCTGTGCATATAAAAATACTGTGTTTAATCACAGTTATCAAAATAACCAAAACAGTAACAAATTATTTTACTCAAGCTTAGCATTTTGTATCTTCCCAACTGGACATAAATGAATATAATGTAAGGAATAAATTATGAATCTAGAGTGAAAAGAGAATACAAGAAAAATGTGCAGGTATTTTTCTAAAAATGTATATTAAAGTATCACATACAAATTGTCTCTATAGTAGGTAAATCCTATGAAAGGCAGCTGGTTTCCCACGAAGGCTTTGGGGATTGGGAAGGTTTCCACGTCTCCCTTGTCGTCCTCAATGTCATCAAAATTACTGCTATCTATATCACTGCTGAGCTCAGGAACAACAGGAGCAGCAGCTATAAAAAGGGGAGAAAAGATGAACTTCACTCCAAGATTCAGTCACTTGCTATATACTGGTATCTCTATAATGTTAAAAGACTATATTATAAGTTGTCCTTAAATAACTTGTAGTTAAATATGTATTAACCAGACAACAGATCTGGAAATATTACTGTGCACAATTTTTTCTAGAGCAATCTATTTTTGTATTAGTTGTTTCATGCATAGACTATCTAATATGCAAGACATATTTGCTCAGGTGATCACGTTTGAGAATAGAACTCTAATACAATCAGCATTTTAAGAAACCTTAGTAAATATGTAACTTTAGAAGTTACGATCAAGCTCGTGAGCTGAACTGACACACTTTGCTTTTTTTACCTAAAGCTATCAGGTTCTCAACACCTTAAATGAAAAGCAGTAAAACTGACAAGACCACTGTCAAACTACTCTCTTAACTACGAGAAGATCAAAAAAATCCCAAATCAAAATGAAAAAGCCCATAACACAAAACAACAAAAGGAAAAGAGAAACATGCATTCTTTTTAGTTAAAATTCTGAAACATCCAATTCCTTTATTTAAAATGGAAATGTCTACATTAAAAGCATGATAAAGATGAGGATAATCCTAGTAGGAAAAATGTGTATTTACTAACCCTAACTAACATGAGTTTTCATAATACAAATGATAAATATGAAAGGTTGAGTAAGATTTTTGATAGATAGAAAATACTTCATTTATACAGCCTAACGTTTTTTCCTCATTTCTACTATTGCAAATACTGAATAAAATAGAACTTGTAAGCTAATTTACTCACTCTCTCGAATGTTGTCCCAGTTCCACTGATCGCTTTTGAAGAAAGGGTGATGCTTTATTTCTTCTACCCCATTTCTCCCGAGTCGAACATCCCTAAACATACCAATTCAGCCAAAGTCACATTAGGGAAACGAGCTTCTTTTTTTTTTGGCTTAGTTTGTTGTTATTTAAATTCTGACTTGTTCACAAGCAGCAATGAAACTTTCAGTAAAGACTGTCTGCGTTAACCACACTAATGGTCAGATAAAAAACAAAATTTAAAAACCACCAACCACTAATCTTTAGTTTCTTATATAAAACATACTCTGATTCTTAGCATGCGCTCTCCTTGCGACTGCTAAAATGTCCAGAATTTGGAGTCTGCCACGTGGGGAGTAAAGCAAGACAGAGAACACTGAGGCAAAAACTAAGAAAAACCTAAAAACACAAACAAAAACTCAACACCCTTGGGGGAAATAAAACTGCAGAAGTTCCGTGTCTGCCAAACCACATGACAAACCGTAAGACGCAAGTGAAGGAAGGTCTAACCTACTGCACAGAACAGTTATTCAAAGCTGGACTAAAATAAATATTTTAAGAATTTCATCCTCTGCCCCACAACTAACCCTGACACGTCTTTTGCTGATATTTGCAGTGAAGTAAATCTTAAGAGCAACAAGAAACTTTTAGTTTGAACAGAAGAGTCTCTCTTGAAACTATGTACAGGAACAGGACATAAAAACAATGCATGGAAAAGCAGCAGTAAATCACAGGGCCGATGCTTAGTCCTTTAAGTGCTTCAGCAGTGATCACGCAGACAGAGAGCAAGCATCTGTTTCAAATAAATCGCTCAAGCACTGTGTTAAATATAAACAGGAAGAGGGACACACGTAGTGGAAACACACCTCGCCACATTTACATTATTAAATTCTACTCATATTTTCTCTGTACCCTTCAGCTACTAAGGGTGAAAAATGCTGCTAAATTAAAGCACATCCTTCCTGAGCAACTGCAATCATGCTCAGTAGAGCAAACAATCTCTCTTTGAATGCAAAACCCATTATAAAACCATTTGTTTTCCTAATCCCTCATTCTATATGCTCTTGCTCCAGCTGGGTTCAGGTGAAAAAGCATAAGAAGGCATCACCGATCCAGAGTTAACTGTGGGTCTACAGTGTTGTTCTTTTAAATCAAAGAAATCAAAGATCATCTGGGCTTTCTCAAACTGCAGAAAATATAAGTGTTCAGGTTAAGAACAAGCTTACATAGTTTAATTTCAATAAATGGCTCCATTCCATAAAGACAAACTTCGAGGACCTATTTGTAGCCAAAACAATACTCTTGCAGATTTGTTAGCTATACTTATCAATTAATGCAACAAAGCAAATAAAAACTAAAAATTCAAACATTCCAAGAAACCTTAAACAAACTCATAAATGCATGCTTACTTTCAGAGAAGTACTTGCTTTCATTTTTCATAAGTAACACCCACACAGACATTGAGCACAACAATTTCGTCCCTGCCTTGGAGTTTACAAATTACTTTCAGTCTTACAGGTTTGTAACTGTATTACACACTGCAATTGGAAGGATTTGTCCAGCACAAACTGTGTTGTTAACAAGAGCTGTCAGAACTGCTCATACAAATAAAATACAATACCTGGAAAAAACACCCCAAAAGAAAAACTAGAGAACAGAAGGTTTTGCAGAAGAGATGTGGACAGAGATTAGGAAAAGTAATGGAAGGAATTAATTTTTACAATGTACCATCCAAAATAAATACAGCCAATACCATCCAAAATAAAAAATAGTAACAGAAAAACACATGCACTTACCTATCAGTTAAAAAGGCACAGATAAGGTTCTTCGCATGCTTAGAGATTTCCACGTCATCCGGGAAATGTAATGAGTTCTTATGATCCATAATTTTACTGTATGTTCCTACTAGTGAGTCTGCATAAAAAGGAGTATCGCCTGAAAATAAAATAGCAAATTGACTGTAATTTTGAGTCATGTAAGTTGAGTAAGAGAAAAGATATAAAGAAAAGTCTACAAGCAGTTTACCAAAAATAGTCTATTTAAAAAAAAAAACGAAACAGTAAAATTGGGATGCAAAAATAATGTATACTACTAAAAATATTCCTTTCCTAAAATGCCTGTATTAGAAACTACACCATTTTCTATCCTGCCTATCAATACCAAAATTTTGCCCAGCGAATTACACCTTTTGTTCTATCTAAAGACTCTCACTGTGTTTTCTAATTTACATGACGGCTGACACCCACTTAAATCCCCACCTTTAAACACTCCATGGGTAAAATGGACCACAACTCACTAAAGATTTGCTAATGCACATTTGTTGGAAAGAATAAACCAAAGCTCTCCAAAGACCATTTCAGAGGCATGACAGGCCTACCCTGCCTAAGGCAAGTCAGCTCTGAGCAGGAGCCTTCCCAGCGTGTTACTGCACTGTTAAAGCCATATTATTAAATCTTGCTCACTGACAAATTAATTAGCTTTGGTGCCCATATTAACATGGCAGGTGGCTTCTAAAATCATAGACCTTTCCCACCCAGAGGTTTGCAGCATAGGCTCTAAAGATATTCACAAAGAAAACAGAATTAAGAAAGGTAAAACTGGGACAAGTGAAAAGAATTGGAAGGGATGAAGGCAACTGACACTCAAATTAACTGACAACATTCTGAACTTACTAATGGTTCGGGTCTGTAATCAAGAAGCTGCAACTTTCACAGAAATGCTTTTTCTCCCAACTAATCCATAGGTTTAATAGGGAAGGCAAACAACTGATTGCATGAGCTAGGCTCCTTTCTCCGTCCCAGTGTGCTGTGTGCAGGCAGGGACCACCTGGCAGGACAGCCTTGCTGGCTGCAGCCTTCCATCAAGGAACTGAATATTTCAAAAGCCAAGTACATGAAAAAAACGTACAAACGGACCAACGGACAAAAAACATTCTGCTTTCAAAAAATACAAATGTAATAATCCTAACTTGAGTCTCCTCCTGTCATTTTATGGCATAATAAGGAATTAGTACACACCAGCTTGAACTAAACTTCTAAACTTTTAGTAAATTCATTAGGGTGCCATACCAGTGCATTGCAGGTGGGGATCACTGATACTTGCTGCTGCCTCACTCTCCCAACCTTCCTCTTCTCAATTGTCTTCTGTCCCAGAAACAGCTTTGATTTTGGACACACCTTAAAACTATCTAAAGTCACTGAACTATCGTTAGGATTCATCCTGTGACCAACATTTTACCTTTTAGTCAAGGGCACAATAAAATTTTAATTCTCATAATAAAATTACCATTTTCATTAGTACTGTGGCTTTACTAAAACCAGAACAACGGAACACTTTCTGTGATTTCTTTGAAGTGCAAAGTTTTAGAAGACCACAGGCAGAATCTGATATGTGAGCACAGACAAAAATAGATGGAGCAATTAAGTAATATTTCCCTCCTAGATACAAGAGGAAAAAAAGGGAGGCTCTGAGAAGAAAATTCTGGACAGCTATGTCCAATATTTTAATAATTGAATAATTTTCTTTATTGCTAAAACTGTTCATTAGAGACTAATCATTATAAAACACTCTAAAGTCAAAGTGCCTCAATTCTGAAAGACATAGAAATTGTAACAGCTTTTTATATCCAAATGTCTTTCCTAGCTTAGGATACCAGAAGCATCAAATATACCAGAACATGCTGATTTGGATTTTTAATAATTATATGTTCAATTCCATCCTTCTATAATCAGTATTTTGCTACCAGACTATAAAATTGATCCTCACTACATATTAAGAGGTAGATGACTCATCTCCTTAACAGATTATATTCTATGTTCGTTGCCATGGCAGTCTGGTGTATCTTACTGGAAAATCCTGACTCAAGCATAGAAGAAAGAATCAAGCCATAGTTTTGCATTTTGATCTAACAGAAGACACTGACATGCTGTGGGAAAAAAGAAGAGGAGAAAAGAAAAGGACAGTCCTGCCCTTTCCACTCCTTTCTCATATCTGTGGTCCTGCAAACTCAGTACTGCTTGATGTGGCATAAACCTTCACGAGTTGGTGAGGTAGCTGACCCCAGTTAAAACTATTCTAAGAATTAGTTTTAAGCTGAATCGAGTCAGGGAACTAATCACTGAGCACGCACGCAAACAGCTGTCACAGCGTAAGAGTGACAGAGGGCAAAGAGAACAGAAATGAAACCACAGCATCAGCCAAAAGTCAGAAGCTGTTAGTGAGGTACAACCAGTCCCTGAGCAGCAAAGCACAGCTAAAGGGACAATGAAGACTTCAATGATAATCTCATTAGCAGACTGAATTACTACTTACCAACTAACATCTCAAAAAGGAACACCCCTACAGACCACCAGTCACATTCCCGTCCATAGTAACCATCACCCCCCTGCGACTTCAGAACTTCGGGCGATATGTAGTCGGGGGTTCCCACGGCCGTGTCGCAGCGCACCATTCCTGTCTGTGCAACAGAAGAACACAAACAGCTCAGTCCAAAATACTTCTGAGTCTTTAAACAAGTAATCTATTAGGAGAGCAGAAAACCATACAAAATATAGCCTAAAATATTTGTTTGACGAGTATGTTTGAAAGACTACTTTTTTATTCAAAACCAATATGGACTGAAATGACATTGTCTGGTAATGTGGTCACCCCTTGCCTACTTCACAGTGATTTCTCTTGACTACCTCTTTCCAAAATTGACCAATTTTATTATTTTTACCATTGGTTTCAATATGAAGCTACACACCATAACAGACTGCTCCTTATTGAATTCAGGGACAAACTTTAGAATCATTTTGACAAGTTAGGAATTCTAGGCCCTACATTGCAGATACGTAACAATTTTGTCCAATTCAGACAATAAATCAAGTTTGAGGTAAATTTTTATAGTTACACTTTGTTTTTTAATTACAGACTAAAAGGAAAAGCTATTTTTAAAGAACAGGAAAGCTCTTTTTCATTTTTTTTTTAATTAACGTAATGCCACAGTTGTATTAATGGAATGATTCCTCATTCCCTTTGCTTCATGCTGAGAGACTGAAAATGCAGGGGCTAAGTGACGCAGAAGCATCAACCAGATCTGCCAGCATTCTAGTTCAGAGTTATAAGCCTTGTTTCCTTTAGTCAAATTCACTGTATTCACTCCTCAGAGACCAGATGGATGAATGAAATGAAATTCTGGATGAAGTTAGAGAAGTACCAAAAATACACTCATCTTTTATTCTGTTTCTAAATCTGAAATCTCAGTCATCTTACAAAGTTCTTCATGCATTTTGCCATCAGCATGAACAGCAATGAGTATTATTTACGAATATTGATATAGAATATTAGTAGCAATAACTAAAGTCAAAATACATATTTAAAGAAAGTAAGAGAAACGTTTTGCTTTGGGAATTGTACTGATGTGTAAAACTCACACACCACATTGTAATATTCCTTTTCATACACAATATGAACTGTCAAAAGCTTTTATTTCTGTACTAAACCAGAACACAGAGAGTCATGAACCAGCAGGCAAAAACTAAAGGGATGACTAAATACTGTAGAGACCTACTGCCTGTCCTCCTGGCAAATGCCTATCATCTTCTACAACTCTATGCTAAAGCTGAAACCTGAAGAAGTTTTAACTTCTCAGTTACAGAATGAAGAGCAGGTTAACTTTTGCCTTCTATACTATGGATGAGATAGCACATAAGCTATTCATCCCTGGGATAAGAAAATGAAGTTAATACTTTTCAGAAGACCTAATGCATTCATGGGTCAAAAAAACCCATAAAGACATTTCAACAGTGGAAATAAACTGAAGCCCAAAGGTTCCAAAAATCTGAAGTTAAGAGCATTCAAAAATGGATCTGGCACATGGCGGGAATGACTATTTGAATATGCTGCTTGTAACAGCACTTGTGCACTAACCTACATGTCTTCTCTGAAGCTTAAGCCTCTCTTTGCTTTGAGCTCAGGAGGAATTGCTCTAGGGTTATGTAATTCTGCTCATCTAGTAAGACTGTGGCATCTTAATGAGGCCTTCAACACTGGCATGTGTCTATCTCTTCCTTATCCAAATGCAAAATTACAAGGAAAAGTCTGAATTTTTGCTCAGTCAAGACTGGTTGAAGCCACCCAAATCCCTCCCCAGGTAAGGAGATACTTAAAAACAAAGTAAACAAAACAGTTCTGAAAGAACTTTTTCTGAACATCACCTTGACACCTAAGCACTTAATAACACACCATTTCCCACCCCTCTATAATTAATACACCAAAGCAAGGACACTTTTTAATATGTTACAGATGTTGATATTTTATGAAGTCTTAAGCAAACAAAGCAAAGGCTGTGCCAAAACCAGCCAAACCCAAATCTGGCTGGTATGTAGCAACAAGGAAAGTTCTTTGCAATGACATTACAGATGCTAAAGAACTCCAAGTAATAACACCTTAAGTTTTCAGATGAGACGCCAAAGAACTGAACAGTAAAACAAACAACTATTTCTACAGCAAAAAGGGCCCTTCTTCCTAACACCAGTTTTCAATAGACCATACCACTTTGAAGCACATGGAGCTGGTTGTACTTACTCCCCATGAAACTCTCTACCTTCTGTCTCAGGAACTAATCTAAAAGTGCATTCACAGATCACAGAACAGTCTGGCTTGGAAGGGACCTTGAAAGATCATCTGACCCAACGTGTTGTGGGGAAAATGGCCTATATAAGATTATGTAGCACCTCGATCAACTGCATCACAAAAAACTCCAGCAATGGGGGATTCTATCATGTCCCTGTGAAGGTTGGACCATTATCATCTGCATATACTATTCCCAGATTTCTGTTCCTCTCATTTACACACTTGTTCTTTCAAAGAACTTGAGTGTTGCTCTGTATGTATTTCTAAGTACTGGATACCTTTAATATCACCATCAGACTCGCTTCTATGATCTCCGGCATCAAAGGCAAGTAAACAGGGATGTCCTCTTTGTGCAATACACGGCACCCTGGCAGTCTCTACACTCTGAAGAGACCTAAAGGATGCTGTTTTCTCAGGCCAACTCATTACTCCTGTGTTTCAATTACTAAGCTTCTGTTTTATGCCTGAGCAGCACACTTACTATAACAGTTCTCAGTTTCAGGCCAATGATTTACCCGAAACTTTCCTCATCACCTCAAAAGATCAAGGTGGATTTCGGAACCCATCTCCTGCAGCTCTGTGAGCGATGCACAGTGCACAGTTTTAAAAAATAGGCTGTCCAGGAGACACAGCATGTCACAGCTCGTGACAACTTGGCAGTGAGGCTGCAGTGTTTCCCAGCATCCTTCAGTATTATTGTATTGCTGAAGGAAAAGCAATTCAGGTTTCATCTTCAGGATGATCTCCATCAGACCTGAAGGACTTGCTGTCTTGAACCAAGGCAAACAGTCAGGCTTTTACTTCCTCATTAAGTTCCTTCCTGTAAAAAGAGCTGGAGAGTGCTTGTGTGAAAATATTAGGATAGCATATATTAGGTGTTAACACAGCACACAGGCTAGTGCAGTGTGCTGTAGACAATGGACTGAAGAAAGAAGGATCCAGCAGGGTCTTGGATAAGCTTCAATGAGAAAGAAGTGAGTTCTAAAAACAGGAACACACTGCTTCTTTCAATGAAACTGCCAGAGCCAAGGTAATAATCCCAAATGGCAAATATGCCTTCTTTTGGTCACATCTGTTTTCAACAGGTAGCCTCTAAACCTGTGCTCTTCTGAAAGCTCAGTTGGCAAGGACAGCGCCATGTACCGAGCCTGCAAACACTGGCCCTACCATACCTATCGAAGCCAATTACTGTCTAGTTTCTTACATAAAACCTGAAGATTAGACACCTGGTGAAACCTGCCCTGATCGACCTCACCAGACCTAAATACCTAAAGGGAACCACAATTTCTACTGAACCTCTGAGGCCAGCTCTGTTCTTTATACAATAATAGAAATACTCACCTTATTGCAGATTTTAAAAAAGGCAACAAATTAAAAAAAAAACAAACCACCCAACACCACAAACCCTCAAATCATGACAACTGAGTTATATAAACAGAAGAGTTCCTTTTATGCTGGAAAAGATCACTAAAACACTTAGCAGCAACTCTTTTCACATAGTGATAAGGAGGAATTCTAGTGCAACTGTCAGGTTTGGCCTGGCAGACTTAAGTGAACACTGACTTCAATTCCACACCAAAGGTCAGAAAAATCTCTAACCAAATTGCAGTAGAATTTTCCTGGGCTACTGGCAGCATAAGGAAGATACTAATGTCCACAACTGCTAAAAGAAATCCAGATCCGAAAAAATAAAAAAGTATTGGGTAAGCTATATTTTCTAGAAATCAGTCTGCCAACACCAATATTATATTTACACAGCTGGGATGTGTTCGTGTTTTGTAAGAAGTAGCATGAGATTTGGAGACAATCCAGAATCTCTCAACTTCTAAAGCTTCCTGTAAAAAAAATTTTTGCCATTCCACTGAGTCTGAGAAACACGAAGAACTTAAAATGTAATCTGTTAAAAAATTAATTTCTTTAGCAGATTACTGGTCCATTGATGATGCCCAGTCTAAACTGGAGCTCACTGTAATTCTTTATGAGAAACATGCAAGCATTTCTGACATTTACAGTATCGTCATCCACATTTTAGTATTCCATTCTTTTAACAACAGCAGCGAAAAGGAAAATGGAAAGAAAGGCCTAGGTCCACCATTTCTGGGATCTCTAAAATAACATAGAGGATCCCTCTTTCATTTTAGATTTATATTATGAACTTTTTGCTGCTTTTTAATTGTCTCTTCAGATAACAACAGATTCCCTTAAGATCTACGGTCTATTGACTCAAAACAAAGTTAATTTTTTAAGGACTGAATTAAGAGACCAAGTACTACTTTCAATTTTTTCAATTAAAGTAAATGCTGTCCCCTAGAATACAGGCAAGTAAATCATCCAAGTGGAGGTGAATATTCTCTCTGCCTTTAGGGTAACAATAGTTATTAAATTATCAGCAAAACTAAATAGACTGAATTTCAATAAACAGCTGCGGTTGTACAGTGAAGTTAATATATTAGCATGTGAAAAAAACCCAACCTAATCAGAGACAGTACTTCTAGATACAGCTGAGAAGACATTAATTTAATGATGCAAATGCAAATTAAGTAGGTTGCAGAGACTATATCAAGCACCTTCAAAACAATACCCAGAAAAATCTAAAACACTAAAGCAAGTAAGCTTAACAGGGTAACCCTTGCCAATATTAATACAGAAACCTTTCAAAGGCCAGGCAAATCATAACACACATTCATATATGGGGTTTTTTTAGAATCTGTTAGAATTTTTCACAGGAAGAATACATTCTGTAATTTACAGCCTAACACTGTTTGTCAGGGAAGATTTTAAGAATGCAAACTTCAAAGGTAGATTTGTTTTTAAGTCACCTTTGATAACATAAAGTATTACATCATGTTAAAAATATTCTTATGCAATCTCATTAGAAAACTGTATTTGACTGTAACAAAATCTGGACAATTATAATGCACGACATCTTGACAAATATCTAACAAATTTTGATGAACATATCACATACCACTGCTGCCCTACTGCAACCTCATTTGAATGACCACTAGAGGATGCTATGAGAACAATGAGACACAGGAAAACACACGGACTGGACTGTATTTTGCCTGTAAAATAATTTCATTTACAGAAAAATGTCAGCCTATGAACTGTTCCAAGGTTATTAATGCTGAAACTACGAGTTATCTCATAAGCTTTTCAGACATTTGGCAAAAAAAAAAATGAACCTCAAAAATTCATAAACACACGTGCTTTCAGAAATAACGAAAAGTAAGTTTACATCCTTCTTCTGTGTGACAGAACAATTTATTATAAAAAAAATTACACTATTTAGAGTACTCATATTTAAAACTAGAAGACAAGAAACAGCTTTCTAACCAAGTACACCATTTGATGAACATTCTTTTGTGCATTATAATTCATAAGAAAATAACCCTAGAATTACAGTTTTATATATAATAAATTATTCAGTTGAGTACTTACTTCATCCATTTTCATACAAGTGCCAAAATCTGCCAGCTTCAGATGCCCATGTTTATCTAAAAGCATATTGTCAGGCTTCACATCTCTGTGTATCAAGCCCATGGAGTGAATTGCATCAAGAGCAAGAACAACTTCGGCTGTGTAGAACTTGGCCCATTTCTCAGGCACATCGTAATTGCTCATAAGGTTTACAAGATCTCCACCTGGCATGTATTCCATTACCATGTACAAGTACTTGTCATCTTGAAAGGCACAAAATAGCTGCAACATTAATAAAAAAGAAAGAAAAAAATGCAATTACTTTTCAGAGACATCTAGTAAAAAGAATAAAGCCCCTTATCTTGAAGTTTTGTTAAACCTGAGAATATCTTGTCAAAACTTATGTAAATAACTTTATTTTTACATTCAGACAATCTACATTTTCTATTAATTATGGCAGTACCTTGAAATTTACTGAACTTCAAAATCCCTTCATCTTCATTTTAAAGAAAGTGATAAAAGACTTTCTGATTTTTTTAATAATATAGGCTTATATATATCTATATATCCATATTTCTTGGCATTAAAAAGTATCACTGAGTCAAAATGCAAAGTATCAAATCTGAGAAAGGGAGCATCACATAATGATTTGAAAATACCTAAACAGTGAGCAGCAACTCAGACTATTTCTAAATTGTGTGTATTGTAAACTCCTTAACTCTGTACTTGTTCACAAAGTCACCACTGATTTTGTCCTAAATCAACATATATTGAAATAAGAAAGAAAACCAAAATGTTACTGAAGACAACTATAACACAATACAAAGAAATTATCCTTAACAATAAAATACTGATCTGGCATAGGTTGCAGTCAGCATGTTTCCTACTGGCATGATAATGAAAATAAGTTTTCTCTTTAAAATGTATTTCAGACCTAAAGGGCTGAAAGTTTTAGAGATCTCACTCAGCAATCACCAAGTCTGAAAATAGCCCAAGCCATCAAAAGCATTACTATCAAATGTTCAAAGGCTGGTGTGAAAAAGTCTCTGAAAGTCTCACCTTATTTCTCAGGGAATACTGCTCCTTTACTTTAAAACCTAAAATTATTCACATCTTTAAATTACACACACAAAATTTAAAGGGAACTGAAAATAGGATGTATGGAAAGGAGGAAGGGAAAATAAGGGAATCCGTGGAGGATGAGGAACCATGTAAGGCAGGTATGTTATTATGGAGATTTGACTTTTAGATTAAAATTGACTGTATAATTTGCGACAGAAGACCTAGATTAGAAATATATATTTTAATACATACATATTGCACTGTATTTGTTTTCACAAATGGATAATATATGCATTATATAGTAAGATAATGCACTTGGTCATCAAAGTCTAAATTAAAATCCAAAATAGTCTCTGTATTCTCACATGTAAATATATTAATATTACACAATAATAAATAACAGCACTATGCCTTTATACAGCACTATCATTATTGCCCTCAAGGGATTTAATTTAAAAAAAATAAATTAAAATTATCTAGGGCTCTGGTATCATTTATTAAAAACAAGACACAGAGAAGCAGTGTGATCTGTCCCAGTTTCTAACTCAGAACAGGAGCTACATTTTCTTCAAACCAGCTCAATGTCCTGTCCCACTGGACCACATTACCTAAATATATCACACTAATACACTTTACCAGAGAAGGCACACTTGCAACTACACTTTTGTTCATTTGCTATTTGCACATACAGGCATACATTTATATCCTGCTTGTGACACTTTCCTTTGAAAATCCATGTCATGCATGGATTTTCTCGTTCCTTTCAACTGCATGTGAAAAATAAAAATAATTCCTGACAACTGCTGTTACTAGAACAAAGAACTAAATAAAAAAATTATCTATTTGGTTAAGTATTTCTGCTGAATATAGGCAAGGGCACAGAACATGCTCAAAGAACAAATCAAGTAAATAAAAAGCCTGGTAAAACATTTCTTGCATGAAGTTATGAAGAATATATGGAAAGCTTCAGGCCAGTCTTATTAAATACACAGAGGCATGGCAATATACATGAGAGCACTTAGATGTATTAGTTATTTAACAAAATGAGGTACTAACAGTTTCTCCAAGCACATGCTTTCACTACCCATTTTAATAACGGGTGTAATTCACCGGTTACAACAAACAGCAATATGCAGTACTGACTCCTCCCAAGGGCATCATTCACATTACAACATCGTGATGATACATCTCAGGAGACAGCTGCGAGCAATGGTGCTCGAGACAACTGAAGGAGCCAACTCTCCATTACTTGGATTTTACTTCCAAGCTCAGGTGCTCTAAGTGACCACCAAACAGAAGATGGTTTCAGCAAACCACTGCTCTGGTCTTGCAGGATACCGGGGTGCACACTCACCCATAGACCAAATTGCTGATGAAAAGACAGTGACTGTTTAAATCACTCTTAATACTAACTGCCTGTGATCAACTGCCTGTATCAGAAGGAAAGACTGGAAAAAATATTGACATTTGTTTCTACATTTCTGTACAGAATTTTTCTTAGTTGGAAAGATAAATTCCCTATTATTCCAAATAATTATATTGGTATTTCAAAAGTCTGTTTCGTTCTGGTTTATGATGCATTTGTGGTGACTAAAATGTAAATTAATCTATTTTCTAACACAGCCAAATACTCAAAACTCAGTGAAATTGCTGTAAAAATTTATTTTTAAAAAGAAAACTGTGATTTGAGTTTAGGTGTCAATTCAAAACCAGCTCAAGACTGGAAAATATTTATTACATCATTGTTATTATTGCTGTTGTTGTTATTATTATTATTTTACTCTTACATATCTTCCTTACCTGAACCACCCACGGACTGTTGGCGAAGGCCATGATATCTCTTTCTTCCCAGAAAAAGGCTGAATCTGATCTCTTGATCATTTCAAATTTACTAAGTAGCTTCATTGCATAAACTTTCTGTGTCATTTTATGGCGAACCTGTTGAGAAAGAAGAGAATCAACTTTTTTTAAATGCCTCATTAAAAACCTGAACACCAGCACAATATATTTCTGCTATGTGCAAACTGCCTTCTGGGATGTGATGCCTCCAGGTCTTCATACACCTGATTTTCTACACAGTAAGGATTTGAGAACTTCCAAACCTGAAAAGCTTAACAGCTGCTCAAAAAACCCACCACAGCAGGGGTGGAACAAGAAGGATGCCCTGGGAAGGAAGATATGCCAGAGACTGGACAAGGGCTGCAGCTGCCACTGCAATCGCAGCAGAGGAGCCACTGGGCCATGAGCAGAAGCTCTTGGGAGGTGCCTGTTTCTTTGAAGATGCAGCAACACGAGCATATGATAAAGAAAAAAACCTCCAAAAAAACCCAATGCAAAACTCAGAATGAGAAAAGTACCACCTTTCTCTAAAGACCTGGACTGCTCTTAACATTTTCTCAGCGAAGGTGCCTACTTCAAATCACCTAGAACACTAAAAAGATAAAATGACTGTTCACAGAAAAAAAAGGAAATGCTATTCCCCATCAAAAGTTAGATCATGTAAGGAGAAATAAAGTCCGTGTTTGTATTTTCTTATTCTGAACACTGTCTAGCCATTTAAGTCATTCATGTTAGAAATTCTGCAAGCAGTCGGTTTCAGCCTCTGCCAATTTTTATTTTGCACCAAGTAAAGATTGCTCCTATTTCTTTCTTTTCCTAAATAGTTCTTAAACTCACTTTAAATGGTGCAAAATTAGTAACATAAACCTTATTGGAAAACTGGAATTAAAACTTCTATGAAAAAATATGAAAATATTTTGGAAAACTTCATCTGAATGCAAACATGAAATCAAATCCTTAAATTACACACTGCAGTCATTACTCTGCTAATTAAACAATATGAGACTTATGCTGCTTTATGAAACAACTACTAAAACACCAGGTTTTTAACGTTCTTGAGTGTTCCTTATAGAAATCAAGGTGAGAAGTATTCAGCTGTAAAATGTCTGAGTCAGCAGAAAAAAATAAATTAACTGCACCTTAACGTTTTGCATATTTTCTTCCTGTTTAAATAAAAAATTCAGTGGACTAATTTCTGAAATCGATTTGTGAAATTTGTGAAATGCACTAGAAATAGAAGTTATGATTTTCTGGTGCATTTAAAACTCTCACATTTAGAAAAATAAAGCAGATCTCCCGACCTTAGTTTTGCACAAGTTTAATTATGCTACTTGAAAGAACAGAAGCTTTTTCTGAACAGCTGTAAATGTTTCAGGTCCACTACATCTGCAGTGCAAAGCTTCAGAGAGGCATCTATTTGGTCTACAAATCTGGGAGTCTCCTGCTGCAGAGGAGCAGTAGAAAATAATATTGCTGAAGGAACAGAAGTATCAGTGGAGGGGGTAATCTTGGAAAGAGTGAGAACATGAATAGAAACAGGATTATTTAAGAACTTACTTGAAATTGGGGCTTTTTGCTTTCAAGATATAGGTGCAGAGGTTTTAGTATTAGTACCTTGCATAGTTTAACACTAACCAACAACCTTCTGTATAGTTAGACCAAAAAACCTCCAGCCTAACACCAGAACAGAAACAGGATATCTACCTTTATTAACAACTCTATAAGCACATTTTACGATATCAACAATTAGTCAGCTAGTGAGGGTGTCCTAAAAAAGGATTTTGAAAATTAACTCCTTCCCATTTACTAATCCCACATGGGATTATTTACAAAGATTTGGTGGTACACCACAAACTACACTCCACAAAGTAGAGCTCTTGTAATCCTGCCCAAAACCAGAAGAAACACAAAGACCAGAAACCACAAAAAGATACTGCTTAATTGAAGATGCATTTTCTGTGAAAATTCATGTAAAGCTCTGCAATGTATTTAGTAGTTTACAGTTCCTAAAGTTGGTGTGTATTCTCGCATAGGTGTAGTTAGTGTAGCTGCCTTCATTTAAAAGAACACCTGTCTCCCACTACTTTGGGAAAAAAATTGTTGAAAATTAGCACAGCCTGAAACAAGTTCATGCACAGGAGAGGCAAAGTAAACAGGGGTGGGGAGACCCAAAATCACAGCCTGTGCACCTCTCTAAAGTAGTGCCAATAGCTTATTAGTTGGCTAAATTACTTCTGGAGAAAATTTCAAGATAGGTTCTTTCTCTGTACAAAAATCAAGGCACCAAAGCAATAACTGGTATGGCACACCCAGAGACTGAGTGTGTCTTGGCACACCTTGCAGGGGAACAGACCTACCACTGATACTACTGCTTCTATCACCACCGTGGCCCCTGGAGACAGCCTTTTTAGCTGCTAGTCACTGTACTCTTCACCCAGAGCTATATTTGTACATACAGATATTGGCTCATACAGCAGATTATTCATGTATTAAACTGTCATGATGTTTCAATTTCTTCCAACTGTTAAAAGGACCTGCCAAATTTAAACTGCAGCTCACCACAGTAACTCTCAAAATAGGTAGGAAAATCCCTTCATGCCATTAGCACTGAGTAACATGGCCTCATTTAACTCATGAAAATGCATTAAGAAAAAAGAATTTCACTCTACTGTGCTTCAACAATCTAAGACTTTCAGTAAAGGAGTACACGCAAAATGCACCCATAATTCCTACAGCATCCACGCCAGAAGACAATCTGTAGGCAAAGAAAATAACATATCTATTTGAACTTATCAGATTGAATACGCAGCGTTGGCAATGGTACTGTCTCTTTTATGATTAAAAGAAAATGAAGGTCCTAGAGTGGAGTTTTGAAATGAACTCCAAGGCTTGAAGTAATCACAAGTATCCTAAAATACTTAATAGAGCCATAACATACGACTATGGATAGGGCAACAAAGTTCATATTCTGACAAATTTTCAGGTAAAAAACCATGACTTTATCTGCTCTATTACAGAGCTGCACGACAGCAGTGGATGGGAACTAAACCTAATAAACAAAGCACTTAATGGAAAAAAGTAAACCAGCACCTCTTTACGCAGGCCATGACAACTGCTGGTTTGCAACACTAAGAAATCACACAGTAAAGACTGACACCCAGGCCATCCTTAGAACTCAAACACAGGAAAGCTTTAGCTTTGCTTTAGTTTTCTCTTCCAGTACATGACCAGGTCAGTCTGGTGTGTCACTGCAATGTTGCAGTCCTTCATGGTTAGATCTGGGAGAAGGGACTAAAGATAAGTTTCAATTTCGTATCAAGAGGATTTTTCCTCAAGTGAAAACAAACAAGAGGTACTCAGGATGTGCTTTCATAATTTACTGTTTCTGCATAAACCACAAGTAACATATTAAGCACCATAATTCAATTTTTCTGTCTGCCCAAACACCAGTCACTTTTATTCACGGCACTGCATAAAAGAAGAAGTGGTCTGGCAGCTGGCAATTATTTTCTTAGCTTTCCCCATCACTACAGATCCAGTAAAACCAGAGACCAGAGCTCAAGTGTAGAGTTTAATACTTCTGGAGCTGTAAGGAAATTGTTTTTCCACCGAAGTCAGATGCTCAAACCAGAATCATCTGATCTCTCTTTACTGGACTGAATTTTTTTAATTTTTTGGAGGGCAGAGGAAGGGAGAAAAGTGAGGCTTTTAAAATACAATCTAACTGTAAGATACAACAGTAGAGAATTTGTTTCCCTTTTCTGAAAGAATATGGAAAGCTGATCACTCCACACCACTTCAAAAAGAAAATGCTATACTGGAGCAGAAGACACAGGGAAAATAAAATTAAATGACAGAGGTCATAGCCGCCTATTTTATGCTGTAAATATTACAAGCCAAAAAATAAGCATTCTAATATAATCATTACAAACATATAATAAATATTTGTGCTACAAATACCTATGCACAACAGCACACACTGATAACAAAACATTCATTAATTCACATAGTTAATCATGTTTTATTTATGGTTCTTTCTGCATTGAGTCCCCACTGAAGCAAATTTCTATTTTGATCGCAGAAAGTATTGCAAAATATTTTGCTTACTGCAAATCCATCATCTGCAACAGTGGTGTTAGCATTTTAAATGAAGTAGAAATAGATATAGCTTAGCTCAATAGTTTAAATTTGTATCATACCTTGTGAGGCAAAAAATCTAGGTATGTCTGTCCACATCACCAGCTAATATTAGTTCAGATCTGCAATTGTATTTATTAGCCCACTGCTTTTTAGCTGTAAGACTGCATAACATTATGATTTCAACTTATATTTTTACATTACAGAAAAATGGTGTTCTCTTAAATTGACATAAAGTACAGAAGAGTTCTATATGAACACACAGAAGTTCCCCCCCAGCACCAAGCATTCCTGCTTTTTTGAAGGGCTTATTAAAGAATAAAAAACCCCCAACATAACAAAAACAAAACCCAAGAAACATTATTATATAACCAGGTTATCAAGCATTTTGCCATTTTCATGGTCAGGCAAATGAAAAATAGTTTGTCTTCAGACCCCTCAAACTGCCTAACTGCAGCATGGACACTGAAAAATCAGCTCTTCTTCAAAATCTAAATTGTGCATGACATGGATTATTTAGAAAAACCCTTCTATCTTTAGAAATACATATAGGAAAATGCATCTTCATTTTTGAAGCACATCAAAAATACAATTCTCTTGGATCCTTCCAGCAAATATATGAGTGTGACACCCAAAAAAGGCACAGCTTCTGTTATTGGGATCTTCTCTTTTTCATCTCACCCCTACTCAGCAAATAGAGGAGGAACTCTGCTCCTTATGGCTTGACTTTTCACTGACTTCCCACGCAAGCGCATGAAAAAGGAGAGTCTCTATTTGATGCTACAAGTGAATATACATAGATAAAAACATCTAATCAAGGACTTTAAAACAAACCATTTGATGGGTCTGTCAGTGAAAGGACAAGGAATAGCCTGCTTTCTTACAAAGCTCCCTGCAGTAGCCCTTTCACACATAGGTAAGGTTCTGCTAAAGGTTCTGGTTTTGGTTTTAATTTCTTGCCAGCAAGGATATAAAATCATATAAAGATACATATTAATTTTTTAAAGTCTTGTTAGAAAATGGGGATTTTTGGAAATACTCCACTGCAGACTTCATACATTCTTCTGGATAAAAACAAAGTGCAAATGACCCTGATAAAAATAGGTAAGAGGGTGCTACATTTTCATGTTGCCAGACTTGGATGAAGGTGTCTCAAAAATGACACAAATGAATAAAAATTGCTGATTAAAGGTTGCTATCTGCCGCATAAATCACATCTAAATTTGCAAATTACCCATTAGTCATGCAAATAGCTTTACTCTAGTCACAGTTTCAGGCTAATTTTAGGTTTTCTTCCCTGGTTTCCATTAATTTCACCAACGCTAATATGGAAAATACAAAGAATTTTATAAATGGATCATAAATGTATTACCATTATACACTGTATACCTTCTATAAGCACTTCACAGCTTAGATTTTACCATATTCCTCAACAAAACCCCAACACATCTTTGTATTTTCCAAAATGCTTATGTATTACAAGACAATATAATTTTCCCAGCTTCCTAGTGCAAAAATAGCACATAACAGTAAAATGTCAGTTCCATGTCAAAAAGCAAAAGGGTAATTTTTGTTACCTTGTGGTAACAAGATAACAAGCTTCAATTGCTGCAAATTAGTTGCTCCACTTTCCATTTACTTGCTCACAGCTCTCTTCCACTAAAAATGCTCACAGAGAAAAGTATCCTGGATTAGCTGGTGCAGTTATCTGTAAGCTCATGATAACTTGTCCTTGGTGTTTGTATTTCAGATTCTATTTGGTGCTTACGTCCAAGGCTTATTTCAAAACTGACATATCAATCCATCTTATACATATGTGCACATTTTTGTGTCACTTATCACACATTAGGACTTGGAAGTCTGGGAAAAACCAAAATTAAATGAAAATCAGACTATGTGTGATACACCAAGGGGTTTTTTGTATTTTGCCTTTTTTTTTAAATAGAATTTCTCTACAATAAAAATTTACAAAGTAATCTCATTCTTACTTTAGATATTATAGAGTATACAATGTTGAGGGGACAATGTTAAAAAATGGATCTTTTAAAAATCCTGAGTCATGTCACTTAAATACAATGCAAGCATTACAATTATAAGAGCAAAACAAAATTCTTTTGTCACACTATATACTTGCTCTTTCATAGGAAGGTTTCAGACATTATTATACAGTGAAGCTTGTGGTCAAAAAAATTTAGAATTGCCACGAACTGCCTTTTTGACATTGATCAAAGGATAAAAAACTATTTCCCAAGTCCTTCCCTTCCAATCCATCACATTTTAAACTCAGATTTACTGTCTACTATGTGCAGAAATGACCTCATGACACAATGAAAATAATACTTATTCTTTATAAGAATGCATTTTTAGATATAAAGTGTGAAAAACTGAGGAAGGTTTTGGCTAGAACTGGAAATCTCTCTAAACATTAAATCATTACATTCTTACCAGCTGCACTTCTCCAAAAGCCCCTCTTCCAATCACCTTTACAACATCATAGTCTTCAGCTTTCATTTGTAAAGCTCGGATTTTTTCCACAATCTTCTCATCTAAAACAAATCAAACAGAATTTGTGATAATGCATGTATTAACAGAATACAAGAATTTTCTCTATAATTTTTCATTTAGAGTAAAAATAAGCTATTTGCCTTTAAATGCTTAGAGCTTTCTTGATAATTCTTGAAATCTGCAGTCACTCTAAATATCCCCTTTCATTATTCTTTGGAAACCATTAACCCTCTACCTTTAGCTGTAACAACTGAAATGTCTTTTGGATTTTGCTGATTCTCATTTCACACCTCTAATAATCACTCAAAAGCTCACAAGAAGACTCTGGCAATGAAGAGAGGCAGAGATGCCTGTTGTGCAGAGGTAGAGGACTTGGTACACACAAAACCACTGCAGCTGTGACCTGCTCCTACACACCTGGAGGGTTCAACAGCAGTCAAATGGCAACCTTCATGTTCAACTACGGATCATGCAAAGACATGACTTCAGATCCACTCATTCATTCCATCCGATACATTGATTCAAGTTTACCTATGTGTATGTAACTGCTGGCCATCTCAAAGTGCTTTTTGGTGTTCACTACACTTCTTAAAATGATGTCTACAATGCTCTGTTCAAGTATTCTCTGGTATAATGTTCTGCAGATAAGCTCTGGCTGTCAGTATGTGTCTTGTTGGCAGTTGTGAGAATCCGTAAGGGAAACCAGCGAAATTCTGATCTCTGACAAATTCTAAAAACACGCAAAGTCCTAGACTCTTTCATTTTGCAAATGAAGCATGCTATGAATGCATTCCTGGCTAAATGCATTTTTTAAGTCTATTCTTATTACAAGGATAAAAGATAATGGAAACAATGAATGGAATCCATAATACGAGAGGTAATCTTTCTTAGGCATGGCAAGCCCCCGCACACACTGAGAAGAAGGAAAACAAAGCAAACCAGGTGGCTGGAGCAAGAAGTCTACCAGGAAAGAGCATGAAATTGTATGAAAAGCTGTGGATGCTTATATTCAGAGAGGAGTAGAGGTGTATATTGTGAGATCCCTGTGTAGGGTCAAATACCATGGAATTTGATCCCTAGAAAGGCATGAAAGAGGATCTCAGATCTGAATACAGGAGGAAAAAAGGATCAGAGATACAGTTAATCCAGTACGACATTAAAGATGACATAGTCCGAGGAAGTTAATGATAATGAGCATCTAGTAAATAGCTTAACCATCCCTACATATTTACAACGAGCAGCTTGGCAGGCTACAAGCAATCCAGGAGATGCCTGACTATCAAGAACATTTATTTTGTTCCAAGCAAGCAGTAAGCCAAATCAGGGAGGTGCTCTGGTCTATTACTCACAAACAAGAACGATCTGGCCCAGGAAGACAAAGTCTATGGGAGCCTTAGCTGAAGCAACTGTGGTGGAACTTAAGACTCTTAAGAGAAATGAGGAAGAAAAATAGCAGACCTTGGACTTCAGAAGAACAAACTACAGCTTGATTGGGAAACTCACTGGCAGGATCCTGTGGAAACCTGCTGTGAAGGGCAGAGGAGTGGGCTGATCTTCAAAGATGACATGTTCATAGCACAAGAACGGTTTGTTCTAGTTAGCTAGAAATGGAACAGGAATGGCAGGGGGGAGCCAGTCCAGCTAAATGGACAACCTCTGCCTCAACTCAAGCACAAAAGGCAAAGGTTTGGACCATGGAAGCAGAGATGTCCCAAACGGGTACGAGTGATCCAGAAGGAATATCTCAAACAAGCAGGGATAGAATTGGGAAAGCCAAGCTTGGCTGGAATTGAAACTAGCCAGGGTTATGAAGGGCAATGACAGCCTTTATAAATACACTGGCAATAAAAGAAAGAATGAGGCAAATATGGGCCTGCTGCTCTCAGTGATGTAGGGGATCTAGTGCCATGGACATGGAGAAGACCAAGGTACTCAATGATCTTTTTTGCCTCAGACTTCACTCTCAAGCTCTGCTCACAGGCCTCCCAGCTCCTCGAAGGTAATAGTTGAGTGTGGAGCAGCAAAGTATTGCAGTAGGGGAAGTTAGAGTTAAGGACCAATAAACCAACTTGGCGTACACCAGGTCATGAGACAGGATGCATCCAAGTATGTTGAACAAGCCAGTAAACACCATTGCCAGCCTGTTCTCTATCACCTTTGAAAGGTCATGACAACTTGGGGAGGCTCCTGATTACTGATAAAGGGCAGATGTCATGTCCGTTCTCTAGAAGGGCAACAACGAGGATTCAGAAAGCTACAGGCTGGACCAGCAGGCTGATCACACTGTCTACAAGGACAGAGCAAATCCTTCTGGAATCCGCTTCCAAACACTTGATGGACAAGAAAGGATAAGAACGGCCAGAATGGATCTAAAAAGGACAAACTATGTTTGATTAACCTGATTTCCTTCTATGACAAGATGTCTGTCATGGTGCACAAGGGGAGAGCAGTACATACATCCTTTCCTATACTGCAGCATGACTTTCAACACAGCATCTCAAAGCATCTTTGTAGCCAAACAACGCCAACGTGGATTGCACAGAGAAGTTACCAGGTGAGTGGAATACTTGCTGGAGTCACAGTCGGTGGTTTTAAGTTCAAAGCTGATACACTGGAGGGCAGGGCGGCTTTTAGGAGTGACCCAGACAGGATGAGTAAATGAGCTGACAGGAAGCTCAAAGAGTTCAACAACAGCACGTGCAGAGTCCTGGAGCTGGGATGCAACATCACACGACAGTATAGGATGGCACTTTGAGAAAGAGCACCTGACAGCTTTGGTGGACAATAAGCCAAGCAAAGAGGAACAAGCAGCCAGCCTTTGCACTGACTGTGTACAAGTCTGCATGGGTAAATCCATAGCCAGTAGGTTGAGGGAAGTGGGAAGTAGATTTCCTCCTCTATTTGTCACTTGTGAAACCATATCTGGAATGCTATGTCTAACTTTGGGGTCCTCAGTGCGCAAAAAATATCAAAGCATTCGCCAGCTTCATGGAAGTCCACCAGGATGCTTCACGTCGTGTTCATAGAGAAGCTAAGAGAACTGAATTGTTCACCTTAGGATGAACAAATGGTTGGCCTCAACAGAAGCTGAAATGAGGTTTTACTTTTAAGGGGTGCAAAGTGAAAGGACAAGAGTCAACAGACAAGTTGAAACACTGGAAATTCTACTTTGTAGGAAAAGAATACCAAGAATTGGGGAATGGAGCAGACTGCCCAGTAGAGCTACAAAACCTCTGTCTTTGGAAATGTTCAAAATTCAACTGCACAAGGACCTGGATGATGTAATATAACATCAGAACTGGTTTGACTTTGAGCAGAGTTGGACCACTTGACCTCCAGTGATTCTTTCTAACCTGTGGAATACAAAAATGCAATTCAAACTTTCTTCATCTGTGGAAAAGATTAAATGTGACAGGGAAGGGAGGAGATTAACGTTAATAACGAGGCAATAGTCTGCTAGTAAAGTTGTAAGGACAGAGGCAATTAAAACCTCAAAAAGTAAATACATTTGCTACATTCAGTGTACCAGTAAGACTGAAGTAAGCCAGAGTGTGAATCAGGAAAGCTTAGACAGGAAGCACAGGACAGCAACAGTGCTTCACCCACACCAAGTTTATTATTTTGTTAATAACGTGAACTAATTTTGCAGATTGAGAAGGGAAGACTACTTGGAAGCTTATTTAACTGCAGATCGGAAGCTCTGGCACAAGACAAATAATAATAAATGTAAATTCACAGGAAGCAGCAGTAGAGAAGGAACATCAGCAAATTTTAAGGCAGAGAGAATGTGCAACTGCATATTTGAACACAATATTACATCTCATGATGGACAGGAATCACATGAATTTATTTTCAAATGTTTCTAAGATGTTACAAATACCTTCAGATGTGTGAAGTGAGATGGCAAGTATTTCAACACATTGAAAAACTAGTGTGTAGTTTTACATAGCTCAATTTCTGATCAGAAACTCAAGAGAATATTTCTGTGTTCAAAACAGAATGCAGAAACTACAAACCACGCCACTACAGCTCCAGTGAAACTCTTTAAGCATTAAATATTGTGATTAAGCAATGAAAAACCCAGTAATATATGAAGCAACCAACAGAGGAGTTCCCAGTTTTATCATCCCTGTGAAATGCTGAGAATGGAGAAATCCTACTTTCTTAGCTAAGAGATAGGATAGGATAGAATAGGATAGAATAGTATAGAGCCCTGTCAGTTGGAAGGGACACACAGCTACCATCAGTCCAACTGCCCGACCACTTAGGGCTCACCAACAGTTAAACATGTTGTTAAGGACATTGTCCAAATGCCTCTTAAACACTGACAGGCTTGGGGCATTGACCATCTCTCTATGAAGCCTGTTCCAGTGTTTGACCACCTACTTGGTAAAGAAATGCTTCCTAATGTCCAGTGTAAACCTTCCCTGGTGCAGCTTTGAACCATTCCCACATGTCCTGTCACTGGATACCAGAGAGGAGACCTTCCTCTCCACTTCACCCCTCTTTAGAGAGCAATGAAGTCACCCCCTCAACCCCTTTAACTAAGATTTAATAATCTTAGTTAAAAATAGTATCATCTAGGGATGCAAATGTTGTGAAGGTATCAGTTACATAGATGGATTGTCTATTTTGGCATAAAATTTTACAGATATGGAACAGATAATCAATGCATGGAACTAATCTGAAACAAAAAAACTGGGGTGCAAGAAGGTAAACTTAGATTAACCCTGAAGCCCTGTCATAATTGCAACCCATGCTGGATCATATGATGGTGCAGGAGACCTTTCCAAGAGTAGCCTTTTAGTAGAGTTCTGAATTTTGGAAGATTTCACACAGGTAAGTTTGCAAATTTGTGGTATCTGCACAGATACCACAGTTTGCATCTTACAGCCTCATAAATTTGCAAAAGAACAAAGCCCAGCAGCAGAAAAATGTTATGTTTAAAGGAAGGAATTAGATGGACTCCTCAGACCCAGAATATAATGGAATCTGATAAAAATATTGTGACATTTGAGTAGAAGTCCTAAACGTGAGAATA